TACTGTTCATGACTGTTCACGGTATTGTTCATACCGTATTTCACTGTTCATAAAATGCATATTTTCTTAAATTGGTTATAACGAACATAATTTAATAATATATTATCATATTTTCTTAATATGAGTTCAAATGTTTTGTTATTTTGTAAGAATATTGTTTTAAAAAGTCAATGTGACGTCTCAGACTCGTATCCGGGTCGGGTACGAGTTGAGGTGTTACAATGTTGGGTTAAGAAATGGGTAATTTAGGATTTAGGATTTTTTTTGCTTATGTTTGTTGCTTCGAGTCATTCTCTCCCTTATTTTTGTCTACCAATAGTTGATAATCTAAAAAAAATTCAAACTAGAAAACCCAAATTAAACCTACTTTATTTAAGTCATTTGGTCGGTGAAATAATTTAAACCCTTTTAACTTTTTTTCCAAATTTTATACGTTTCTCTTGGGAATGCCTTTTCTTTATTAAACTAAAAATTTATTGTAACATGACACATCGTATAAAACTAATGGAAGGTAACGTCAGATACCTTGAAAGTTAGGTGACACATTTATATAATTTACCCTTATTTTTATCAAATAATTACATAAAAATAATAATTAAATTTATTGAATTTTTAAAAATCATCGTTGCATTTATTTAACTTTATGATCATAAAAATGTCACGGCCACCATTTGTAATAATCATTTCATAACTTTTTCAAGTTCAGTATTCAACAAGATCTTTTAATATAGTGTAGGGGCCTCTGATGTGTTTTACCGTTTTCTTTTTAGCCGCGTTAGGGCCTTCTTGTGGTGTAGAATATTTTGGGCTTTATTGGGCTGTTCTATTTCTTTGACTTATTAACATACTTGCAAATATATTTATTGAATGAATAAGAAAGATTATATTATTTTATTATATTTTTTTATCATTAGAAAGACTGAAATATTATGCTACGATGTCCCGGTTGTTGGTCGCTTAGACTATACGTTAAACGGTGTTGCACCTAACAAATTCAATCAATCATTGCCAATATGAAAACAATCCTTTGGTCCCTCTATTTTTCTCTTAATTATCATTTACTATATAGGGGTCATTTAAACATATGTTAAATGGATGACAATTTAACTCGAATCCGACGAGTTCTGATCCGATTCGAGGATAATAATGTAATCTAATTAAAAGAATTATTAATTTTTAATTGAATCCTTATTTTACATTGATTCGAGTCGGGTCGAATTTATACTCTAAAAAATCGGGTCAGGTCAGAGTCTGGTAGATGATATATATATTTTTAGATCGGGTCGGGTCGGATGGAGGATTTAAAGTTTTCAGATCGAATCGAATTCGGAAGGAGAATACATATTTGGATCGGATTCACCAGAAACTCAACCCTAACTGACTCGTTGCCATGCCTAATGACATGTCAAGTACTACTCATTTAGCATGAGAATGATATAATAGGTCTTTGATCAAGTAATTATCACTCGTGTTATCATATTGATAGGTGATATTATCATATTAATAAATATTTGTAATCATTTCAGATAAAAATTCCGCTTGAGTTATGATAAAATTAATTGTTAACATGTCATCAACGTTATATTTAATAATTTTATTGATGTCAATGATGTTTATCTAATTAATTATTTAAACTAATTTTCATAGTATAGAATTTAACAAAGAATTCATAACTTACAATGACTATTGTATCGCTTCTTATGAGCTAATTTCTTCCACCTCAATTTACTTTTGAAAAAATTTCAACTCAAGTACATTTATTTAGTTAATTTTCAAAAGGAGATAGGTGTACCTATTGAAGAAAATGTTTAGCTACAAGCAAAATGAACAGAGGTACCAAAAAGATAAAGGGAAAAGAAAAATGAGGGTCAAAAAGATATTATAAATTATAGAAAGGTCCTTTGAAAATATGCAGCAAAATCTGTTCCTTTTAATTCTCTAATAATTGTGATTGTTGAAAAAAGGATGGCTCTTATAAGGGGAGAAGGAGAAGTAAGCCAAAAACACCATCCCTTCCGATGTTAATCATCAATATATATATATATATATGATAAATGGAGAAAAGGGTAATAGAATTTAGGAATTAAACCAAAAACACAAACTAAGATGAAAAAACTATGGGTAAATTACACGTTTGGTAATTAAACTTTATTCTCTCTCTTATTTTACTCACTATACTTTTAATTTTTTTAATTTACTCATTGAACTTTATTAATTGAATTTTTTTATCACTCCGTCGTTAAATAATTAATCGAAATTAAGACATGACAACTTACATCGAAACGATGTCGTTTTGAATTCTTGAAAAAAAAATTAGACTAAAATGACGAAATTTTGATTAAAATACGATCATGTCATAACGTCGTTAATTAGTTAACGGCGGAGTTACCGGAAAAACTCAATCTATAATGTTTAGCGAGTAAATTGAAAAGAATTTAAAGTACGATGAGTGAAATATGAGAGAAAGTAAAGTTCAGCTGCCAAACGTGTAATTTACCCAAAAATTATTTAGCGTAAACACGTACATTGAAGAAGCCTATAAGTTTCGCGTGGAGTATGCGGGCATTTAAGAGAAGCAAGCGGGGGATGGAATTAGGGAAGTAGAGGGTTTTTATTTAGTCCACTATTAGAGACCATTTATTGAAATGCATGCTCTACACTAATAATCAGTTGGTTTAATGTATGTTTGTCTATTAATAAATATAATTTGTCATATGTCATAAAATTTCAAAATTTGAGATCTCACACTTTAAAAATAGTTTCTTAATAATTTCTTTTATTATTGCACGTATAAGTGAAGAAAAATTCAATGAAGAAAACTTAATTTCACTTGTTTGAACTTTTTATTTTATAAGAAACAATCGTAATATGATAAATTTTGATATTTTACGATTTCATTTCATTATAAAATAATTTTAGGGGTCTTATTTTTAAAAGTAACACAAAGTTTCTATATCTTTTGGGACGGGCTTAGTATAGTAGGATGATACACTGGATTCCTTAAGTAATGTCAGAGATTTAAATTCTGACGATTACGAATAGAATAAACTAAATTGGGAGGACCGCCACTGCCTCTGCAGTATCCGATTCAGATTAATCGGTCAATAGATTAAACACATATAATTATATATGGCGCGTTTGGTTCACGAAATGTAAGATTACCAGTGGGAATAAAAGATTACCAGAGAATAGGATTACTGGGAATGTTGTATTTTGTGTTTGGTTGGTTTAGCAGGAATGCAAGATTACCGTGTTTGGTTAAAGGAATAAAAGATTATTGGAATGTATATTTGACCAAATTGTCCTTATTATATATTCGTATAATATTACAAATTGTAAAATATTTATATATTTTCTTTAAAAAATTAAATTCATAATATTTATATATTTTTTACAAAATTAAAAATATAAAAAAGGTTTAATGAAAGGGTAAATTTTTTTAACCCCTGAACTTCATATAAAATTTTAATTATAGATTTTTTTTGTAAATCTAAAATAATTTAAGGATAAATTTGTAATTTAACATTCGTAGAATTTTTATTATTCAATGACAGATGAAGGATATTTTTGAAAAAAATAAAAATTTAAGGGTATTTTAGTCCAAAACGCCGGTAATGTTACAATACCTAAGGGAAGGGAGGTAATGACATTCCCGGTAATATACCCAAAAAAATCTACTATTAGTAATAAAACATTACCGGGAATAAAATTTCCGACCAACCAAACATGAGAATATGAGATTCTCAATCTTTAAACCAAACACCCCTCGAGAAAAGAAAAATCATGCCCCGACGCATGGTGGATCAGATAGTCAACAACAGGTCATCCACGTTTATCGTTTTTAAATCAATCTTCAAAGTTTTGGCCCACACCCTCATCGCACATATACATTAATTGTTACGGTAAACTTTATTTTCTTATAATTCGGTTTATCTTACTTTACGAAATGTAAAAATCCAGTCTTGAAACATGAGTAAGATTAGGTCCAATTTTTAATTGATTCAAATATGATCAAAATATTCTACTTTTATTCATCAATCAATTTAAATTTTAAAATAAATATAAATATTCGATTCAATCTAATTTAATATAAATATTTATATCTTTAATACATAATAAGGACTTTGAATATAACTATAATTAACTTTAAATGATGTCATCTAATTGATATAGGTATATACTAATTTTTTTCATAATAAAAAATAATTGTTGCTAAATAAAAGTATTAGTATTGACTATTATAAATAATAACGAAAATAATATTAATAGAATAAAAATGACGAAATTAACGTATCGTAGTAAAATTTATTATTTTCGAGTTAATGATGAATGAACTAGTATAATCTCGAAAGTTAATGTTCTCCCTCAAAATTAATAGGGAAATATGTGCGTTTAGCACATAAATTATCAATTTTGGTTTGTTTTAGTACTTAAATTTTATTTTTTTTAAAACCACACATAAAATTTATTTTTTATTTCATTTCAGTACTCTCGTTCAAGATTTAACATTAAAATTTGCAAAAAAAAAAAGGTTAAAGGTATTAAAACGGACCAAAACTTATAGTTTATGTACTAAAAGCGTTAAGTTTTTAACAACGGGTACTAAAATGAAATAAAAACTAAATGTTATATATGATTTTGAAAAAAATAAAAATTAAGTTATTAAAACGAATCAAAATTAATATTGTGTCCAAACGTCGTACACCCGAAATGATAAATAGATAGAAGATAGAGCTAAAAATAAAACTATAAAAACAAATAGATTTGGCTTGTAAAATAAAGAATAAAACTTATTATTTATAAAAATAAAATGCAAATAAATTAACAAATAAGACAAAAATAATTATAATCTAATATCTCTTAATATATACCTAAAATAGAAATAAATCACATTTTAAATATTATTGGATTTTTCTTTTTCACTTTCTCTATTATTTCCAACCATTTATACTCCTAACAATGCGGCGTTTAGATGGAATGACTCGTAATTGCTGACTTTGTAAATAATCTCCTTTTCTCAGCACCACCGCCAAGAGAAAACAATGGCGACAGAAGATTTTAGCTTCCCCAAAATCACCAATCCTTCACCTCAATTCACGTCTTTACCATCGTTATGGAGCGTATCTTCCTTGATCTATCCCGAATTCGAATTTGAATTCGAAGAAGAAGAACCGGCGAGCCTCCAAAGGAAGAGCTTCTCGAACCCCGCCTCGTCGGAAAGCGAAGCGAACAAGAGAGATCCTGAGGAAATGGACGTGTTGTGGGAGGAGTTCAATGAAGAACTCAAGCGAGCTGCTTCGTTGCGCAGCCGGAGAGAGGTGCAGGCCATGGAGAAGATGACCGAAACCGGCTACGGAACAGAGCTGATTGGCCGGAAGAAACAGAGTAAGAGCTTGTTGACGGTGATGAAGAGGTTGAAGATCAAGTTGTTTTATATTCGCAACTTTTGGATAAAGAACTAATCTAACACCGTCGTCGATGAGTGAAAGGCCATGTTTTATTTGATGTTTCGCTTGTCGAGGGTGCTCTATCTTCTTGTTCCGGCGATTGAGCTCGTCATCAGCCCTCAAAAGTAACCTTTGGTATGTACATTATAAAATTAATTTTATTAGCACAATTACATAGAATAATAAAATTTATAATATTTTTATTGTAGTCTCTAAACTACAATTAACATTTTAAAATGATCTTTATTTATATTTATTTGAAAAAAATAATAAAATCTAATTTCAATTAAAGATTTTCGCACAATGTTAAAGTTAGTTCTCAATTTATAAAAAAATCATTATGGTTTTTTTACGCATTTTAACTTTTTAATATTTTATTTTAGAACAAAAAGAATTTTAACACTTTGTCATTATTTTTTTTAAATACTTTTTTCCTAATATTTTATTTTATGATTAAAAAATATTATTTTATAACATTAATCTTTAGTTAATTAATTGTTTCATCTATATAAATATTTTTTGTCCTAAAACAAAAATAGATAAAAGATGCAAATGGTGCATTATTATAAGATATTATTTTATTAAAACGTTTAATTATTAAAAATTATAAAATGATCATATAATTATAGAGTGTTATTATATTAAGTCCATAGATTATATTAAAAGTTATAAATTAGTTTCCCAGCTATTCATATATTTTAAATTTGTCATTTTTCGTTAAAAAATTAACGGTATTCTAAGTTTAACGTTAGCATGCTAACTGTGATATGATAAAATATGATTCTAAAATCCTAAGCAAATATTATATATCAATCATCATGTTAATTTTAGTTTAGACAATCGATAATTTTTTAATAAAAAATGTCGAATTTAAAATATAATGAATAATCAAATTATCATTTTGTAATTTATAATTTTTGTAATTTTTAATAGTCGAGAGACTTAATAAAACAACACTCTATAATCGAATAAATATTTTATAACTTTTAATAATCGTAAAATTTAATAAAATAATATCTTATAGTCGAATGCCCATCCTCAACGTTGAGCCATCTGTTTGACATTGATGGGATAGCATTTAGATTGGGGGCCCGAATAGGCCTTTTGAGCTATAATCTGATTGAAAGCTTGGGTTGGGTGATAAGCATCCCAGAACACATATTCATCCCTGTTGGAGCATGGGATTGAAAATGGAAGACATGTTATTTCCCCTTTGTTTTTCCCAATGCCACAACACCCTCTGCCCATCAAATGAAATCCTGCAATTAGGGATGGAATTAAATCAAATCTTAAGATGTACTAAATTGTTTAACTTCAAAAAGAATAAGAGTATATTAAGCATTTATATTTAAAATTAAAATTTAATTTATTTATTATTTAAACAGATAAAAATTTAAAATATCATCAGGCTAAAATTTCTGAAAGATCATCTCCCAACCCTTATATAGTTCGGTCCTGCCTAGTTCGACTAAAAATCAACACAAATTCTACCAGTAATTAATTTAATCTAGTGAGATAAGATATTATATTCTTTAAATAAGTTTAGGGGTTTGAAGTGTGGCATCTACGTATAGAGCAAACTATTACGAAATGATCATTAAATTTTATCGAACTCTTACACTTATTATAATATCACAGTAATCATCTTATAATAGTTGAAGAAATTTAATGATTACTTTGTAAGTTTTGAACATTTAATAACTAAAACGGTTAATTTAGCATAATTTTATGACCTATGATATACTTGACCCAACTATAAAACTCAATTTCAAACATCATGTCCAAATTAGATTTGTAAGATTAGACGAATAACCCAGTTAATAAACAGATGCCTTCCACAATAATTTAAGTTCTTACCGTAAGTCTTGGGATTACTTGGTATGTCAGTGAAGGCTCCATAGGTGTTGCCATAAACAAAAATGGAATTATTGGTGTAGTTAGCGTTCAACCGATCAACAAGAGTCTTGAGCCGCCGGTTGAACACTTGCACCATGTCGTTCACGGCCGTTATACACTTTCCCGGCGGCGCAAAGCCTTTGGCCAGCTGATTCGGAATGCAACCGAGTGGTCCAATTCCCGCCAGCAAAAATTTTCTCAGCCCTGTTTTGTATAGCTCCTACAAGTAAACCAATTTCACAGATACAGCCCTAATTATATAACAATTAATTTTTGAAAGATTAATAAACAAATGATGAAGTACATTATTAATCCCTAAGTTTTAGATGTCATCTCATTTTAATCATTAAATTATAACCAGAGGAAAGGAACAACCATTATTTAATCTGTAAGAAAGGAAAAGAAATAATTGTGTCATCACATCATTAATGATTGTTGATGTAAGTGGAGCTTGATGAGTAAATAGAGGGCATGAGATAATTGTTGATGTAGTCATTTCTGCCAATGTTTGTGACAACTAAAGATTTTCTCAAGTGTTGGTTCAACATCTCCTTGTCCGTTTGCTTTTGAAATTCTCAACCTGTTGACTCAAGCTGAACCTGTCCCCCTGCTCCATCAATTCATTCGTTATGGGGGAGGAAAACTCAACCCTAAACTGACTGGATATTAGATTTTACCAGATTTAGGCCACTATCCTCAAGAATCCCAGCTGCGGCTGAAGCATAGTTCACTCCGGCTTCAATGTCTACTTCGCCGGTGATCGTTTCGGTGAAGGCCGGAAATAGTGGAAGGCCTAACGAATCTCCTGCAAAATGAGAAAACTCTTACTCCCTCCTCCCATAGTTTATGTCTTATATTGATTATGCACATAATTTTATGATATATTTTGACTAAAGGAAATGATAAAATTATATCTAAAAGGTGATTGATAGATTTATTTTCAGAGATATAAAAAAGTAAGACATATAAGCATAAAAAAGAAAATATAAGTATTGTTGTTTGTTAGTTACATGGGCCCTTCGAATGGAGAATGCACTAATGATATTGATTATGAGTAATTAGGGATGGCAGAAAGACCCGAATCCAAAGGCAAACCCGAAACCCGATCAAGTTCAGGTCGGGTCGGGTTTGAATGATATCGGATCAGGTATTAGGGATTTTTTCGGGTCAGGTTCGGGGACGGGACAAGGTATCCCCACCCCGATTATATATATATATATATATATAATATTTTATATTAATTATATATATAATATTTTATATTTTTATATTAATTATATATATAATATTTTCGGGTTCAGGTTCAAGTATAATATTTCGGGTCGGGATAAAAAAAAATCTCCGACGGAGCGTCCCGATAAAAAACCCGATGGGGATTGGGTCGGAGTCGGAGATGGGGATTTATTTCGGGTTCGGAGACGGGACGAGCAAAACTCGTCCCGAATCCGCCCGTTGTCATTCCTATGAGTAATATATCTTGTGGGCACTCTTTTCCGGGCTCTAGAAATGGTTTTTAATGAGGCCATTTTCCTTGACTTTTATAATATAATATTTTGGATAAGATAATTTTTAAAATTAAAAGAGACACGTTTAATAAGATAAAATGAATATAATGAAACATAAGCCCATTGTTTAGGGTCAAATAATGAGAGAATTGTCTCAAATTGTTTTCTATAATATTTAATTCATATTAATTACTAAATAAATCTAATATTAGTAATTATACAAAACAAGTTAAAACTTTATATTGAAAATATTTAAATTAAATTATTAATCTAAAAAAAGGCCAAAGGCCCAAAAGCATATATTTTTTCATTCAATCAAAGACTAAGAAAATTTGGGCTAAATGTATAAAGTATATTTTTTTTTTTGGATAAGCAAATTTTATTATCCAAGGAAAATTACATAGAAACATCCCAATTAGGGTAAAAGCCTACTTACAACAAAAATATTCACTCAATACCCCAATAATTACATAAATTTACATTGACATAATAAGTTCTATTGAAATTTCTATCACTGAGTTTGATTCGAACAAGATCCTTAATGGTCTTTAGGACTTGATCAGGTGATCTTGATTCTCTTCTGAAGATTCTTCTATTCCTTTCATCCCAGATCGTGTATATGTAAGCTGTCCAAGAAAGTTTCTGAATGATGTTGAGAAGAGATTTACCTTTCCAGTATTGAGAAGCCCAACAAATCCTTGAATCCCAAGTGTTGTGCGTGTTGTGCATATTGTTATAGTACTTTTACCTATAATATAGCATTATCATAAATTTTATTTTAGAAATAATAATCCTTAAATTATATGATGTATATTCTAAATTAATCTCTAAATTTAAAAAAATTATAACAACCTTCAAATTATCATTGTCATTTTATTTTGATTCTTTCGACGTTAACTCTATATATTTTTTTTAAGATTTTGAAAATTGAATCACATCCTTCTAAAAATTAATTAATTTTTTTAAAAATCTTAAGAATTGAATATGTGACTTTCGAGTCTATGACATATTAATGGAAGAATCAAAATAGAATAATAATAATAATTTAAGAATTGATATAGAATTTCCGAGTCTATGACATGTTAATGGAAGAATCAAAATAAAATAATAATAATAATTTAGGAATTGATAGAGAACGTAAATTTAATAATCAATTTAAAATGAAAATTATAGTTTAAAAGATAATATAATATATTTTAAGTTTAAGGATTGATCTAAAATGAGATTATAATTTGAAAATAATTTTGTAATTAACTCTAGTAATAATAGTTCGATTATATGTGTTGAAATTTCTAGATATCATGTACGTATCCGAGAACTTATACAAAACTTGCTCTCTACAGAAAATTTTAAAATTCATAAACTGACTAAAAATGGTACCAAGGTGGAAATAAATTTTCGTAGGTGCCAAACAGAAAAAAATTACTAAACCATGCACAGGGCTGAAACATATAAAAGAGAGATTAGAGAGAGTTGGAGAAAAGCGTGTACCGAGGAAATCTATGATGGTTTTCCTGTTGCAGAACCTCCCCGTTGGACCTCCTTGAAAATCAATACCGTAGGGAGGATAATTTGATTTCGCCAAAGAGCGCAAGCCGTTATTGTTCCCGTTATCCACTAACGAATCGCCGATCACAAACATCGCCGGAAACTGGGGAGCTCCCGCCGCCGCCACACCACCGGAGACTGAGATTGCAGCCGCCAAACAGAAGGCCAGTACTCTCAGGTACGCCAACGCTTTCCATATCTTCTGTGTCGCTTTTAATTCTCTCCTCTGCAACAACTGTTTGAATATAAAGATAATTAAGCTGTGAATGATGATGGATAAGGATGATGCTAAATCGTGTTTAGAAAGTTAAAAACGGCCTTGAATCAGCAATGATGCATTAAAATAAAAAGCAAAAGAAGGATTGAAGATGTGATGATGCGGATGATGTTCATTTTCTCAACTCCTTTGCAGATTTCCAGCAATTTCTTTTTCGTGTTGGTGAGTCGGTTAGCTCGGGATGTTTTGCCAGAACGTTTCTTAGATTATTTTCGAGTTTCTCCATAATCTCTTTAATCAAACTTTGGAAAAAAAATTCCACTCGCAATACAGAAACCAGGAAGCCTAACAATTATAATATTAGTTTAACAGGTAAAAACTATGCTAGATTATTTGATTACTGAATTTTTTTAATTATTTAAAAATAATTATTAGTTTTTTTTAATTTTTATCGAATGAGTATAGTATGATCATGTAAATATAATTTAGTAACTTATTTAACAACTTTTCGTATAGTCCACCTTTAATAGTTTTGTTTAGGGTACGTGCATATATATAATGTTTTAAATCGACCTAATGTCTTTTGATTGTATTAATTAAAATTTTTAATATATAACTTATATGAATAAATTATATCACACTGTTAAAATACTAATAGTATTTTAAAAAAAGCTCAAGCAAGGGAGGAAAGAAATGAAAGATAAAATAAATAAAAACTGTTTTTCTTGCGCTATAAATATTTTTCTCTGAAATGGCTCTTCAACAAGTTCTATATAATGGATGATTTTGCTTTCCTTCCATCAAAGTTTGGACGTAGTTTTAAATACTTCACATTGGAACCCAAAACGGAACACTAACCCACCAATCGAAGCTCTTTCATAGTCATTTTCGACGACTCATGTGAGGGTACAGTCCCAAAATATGCTCCGGCAGAAAGTCGTGTCGGGTCAGGATTCCGACGATTGGAGGCCTCTGCATTTATAAGATAGATAGTTAAAACGAAATTACCTGCATGTATCTATCATTGCATATATACTCCAAAATTCCAGTGTTCAAACATTTTTCATGCACCAAAAACTTAGGTACAGAGCAAAAGACTTACCCCCTGACTCTTTGGTACCACACACATGTGCCGGAGACCTAGTTGACGGAAGAGAACAGCGGCTTTGGCAAGTGACATGGTCTCAACCACTGTGTACGGTGATGCGTTGGTGATAGGATGGAGATCGACATACATTTCCATCTCCTCGTCTTCGATGTCGAGATCCTCTAACTTGACTCCCTTTCCTGGCCCTGTCTTGGCAAAGTCAAATCCGGAGATTCTACGTACTACCTCATCTCCTGCAAGTACCCTATCCCTTGAAAATATCTTTCCCTTGAGTAAAACGAGTAAATGAGACCTTAGAACAAGCCCACACAATTCAGGCGAGTCTGCAAAAGGTGATTCGTCAATAACAGGGAATCCATTATGCCCTGTCGTTTTCAAAGCATGTAATATGTTTCCTACCTTCTCGACACCAGAAAAGGTGATCAGAGGACCAGAAAAAATGTCTCGAGCGACTAAATGTTTCATGTAAGGTTCTGCATGAGCTTCCATATATGGCAAACCTTTTAGTTTTACTATTTGGTCATAGACTCCATGATTAAACATATCGCCTATGGTTTTTGAGATAAGGAGAACCAGCAAGACAAGCGGAAGCATCAGCAGATCATTAGTCAGCTCAAGCAGTATAACACATAGGGAAACCGTCATTCTCATAGTGCCACCAAGAAAGGAAGCTGCCCCAAGGAGCCCAAACAGACCAACATCGAGTTTAGTAATTGGTTCAAATAGTCTCCCAACAAAGCGGCCATAGCCAGCCCCTGCCAATATGACAGGAATGAAGAGCCCTGATGGGATAGCTATGCCGTAGGTGATAATTCCAAGGCAGTAAACAGCACAGAAGAAGATGAAAAGGGTGGAGAGATGAAATTCTTTTGAAGTGCTGGTACTCAATAGGTTACGGATGGCATCATCATTAGTGTTTAGAAAGAGGTAGGCCATATCATTGTAATGATTTGGCGGACACTGAAAGCTTTTGTAGTTGCCAGATACATCAATGTTGGAGCATCTTGAAGAAACTTCAGCGGGACAGGGGATGCATGTAGCAAACCATGGCAAGCCATAAGAACAGATAGATGTTAACAGGGAGATGGTAACAACAAGTAGAATCTTAGCAGCAGGTCCTTTTCTGCACAAACAGAGAACAATTTAGGCTTTATCATCAAATGTAGCACACAGGTACAATTTGAATCACAAATAACCGATACTGCAGAACTTATAGTTTGAAAATCATAGTTTAAAAGATAATATAATATATTTTGAGTTCAAGGATTGATCTAAATTGAGATTATAATTTGAAAATAATTTTGTAATTAACTCTAGTAATAATAGTTCGATTCTACGTGTTGAAATTTATAGATATCATATACGTATCTGCGAACTTATATAAAACTTGCTCTCTACAGAAAATTTTAAAATCCATAAACTAATTAAACATGGTACCAAGGTGGAAATTAAATTTTCGTAGGTGCCAAACAGAAAAAATATACTAAACCATGCACAAGGCTGAAACATATAAAAGAGAGATTAGAGAGTTGAAGAAAAGCGTGTACCGAGGAAATCTATGATGGTTTTCCCGTTGCAGAACCTCCCCGTTGGACCTCCTTGAAAATCAATACCGTTGGAGGATAATTTGATTTCGCCAAAGAACGCAAGCCGTTATTGTTCCCGTTATCCACTAACGAATCGCCGATCACAAACATCGCCGGAACCTGGGGAGCTCCCGCCGCCGCCACACCACCGGAGACTGAGATTGCAGCCGCCAAACAGAAGGCCAGTACTCTCAGGTACGCCAACGCGGAGCTCGTCGTTTCCATATCTTCCGTGTCGCTTTTAATTCTCTCCTCTGCAACAATTGTTTGAATATATAGATGATTAAGCGGTGAATGATGATGGATAAGGATGGTGCTAAATCGTGTTTAGAAAGTTAAAAACGCCCTTGAATCAGCAATGATGCATAAAAATAAAAAGCAAAAGAAGGATTGAAGATGTGATGATGAGGATGATGTTCATTTTCTCAACTCCTTTGCAGATTTCCAGCAATTTCTCGTCCTTTTTGTCCATACTTTTTCGTGTTGGTGAGTCGTTTTGCTCAGGCTGTTTTGCGAGAGCGCTTCTTAGCTTATTTTCGAGTTTCTCTACAATCTCTTAAATCGAACTTTGGAAAAACTTTTCCACTCGCAATACAGAAACTAGGAAGCCTACAATTATAATATTAGTTTAATAGGTAAAAACTATGCTAGATTATTTTGATTACTGAATTTTTTAATTATTAAAAAATAATTTTTTTTTTAATTTTTATCGAATGATTATAGTAAGCTCATGTAAATATAATTTAGTAACTTATTTAACAACTTTTCGTATAGTCCACCTTTAATAGTTTTGTTTAGGGTTCGTGCATATATCTAATGTTTTAAATCGACCTAATATCTTTTGATTGTATTAATTAATTTTTTTAATATATAAGTTATATGAATAAATTATATCATATTGTTAAAATACTAATAGTATATAAAATATAATTTTTAATAAATATTTAATCAATGGTTAAAAGAATTTTACAAAGAAAAATTAGTTAAATATTTTTTTATTGCAATCAAACTCCGCTTATGATACATGCACCATAAGACTCACATAAAAGAAAGATGGACTAACGCTTTCAATTGATTCACACGACCAAGCCTTGGAAAGCAGAGCAGCAGACTTTCGATAGCTTTTTTAATGAGATTCTGATATTATTTGGTCAACATGTCTTCTTGAGATAATTGTCTATCTCTTATTTTTATAACGGTTCTTGAATCACATCAATCCGATCTCAGAAACTCAAAATATGTTCATTTTAGTGAAAACATCACGTGTAGAAATCCTTTTACGGGATTTGTAATTAATTACGAATTTTCAATATTTTCATCTTATGATAGAAAGATAATTTCATTGTAATGATAAAACTCTGATAGCTTATCACATGCCATCTTATCACCTTCCAGAAGCTTCATACCGTTCATCTCATCCTACAAGTTACAGGATTTAATAAAGTTTTCAAACTCCTTGTTTCCATCAAAACCATTGGATCAAACACTACATCAAGGGCTCACATCCATGTCACCAACTTCATATAGATTAGGGTTGCTTTTATTTGTTATTTTATTCTTATTTTATTACTTAGTTATGTTATAACAAGAATTCCTCCAAATCTATTTAAAGGAGGTTTCTCTCACTATTGTAAATACATCTTTTTCTTGAATATAATACATTGAGAGTTTCTCTTCGCAAGTGTTGATTACTTGTGACTTCGAAGCTTCTTTTCATTAAGTTCTTTTCAAGTTTTTTATGAGAGATCTTCACATTTTGATTTGTCTTTTTATTACGACTAAGATGATTGGTTAGAGTTGTATTATTGAGTTTACATTTTCATTGCAATTATAAGAGTTCGATAGGACATTTATTCATCTATCTTCATCTTTCATAATCCATTATCCCTTTCCTCCATTGTTGTCCACCATATAAAATTCTAGAGTTTTGTGTTAAATTTCATGCATACTAAGGGTAAAATTTCAATTAAATTTTCCCATCAATCTGACATGATCTCCATTCCGTCTTCGCCATCACGATCCTTGTTATTCCATCTTTCCAACAAGCATCCACTCATCAAGATCCAAGCACAAACAACAACCCAGCCGCCCACTTTTATTGGCTAAGTTTAATATTTCATTACATATCTTTCTTTTATCTATTATTGTTTTTACTTTATAAATCTTTTTATTACCCTTACTTTCAGTTGTCTTAATCTTTGTTTCTTTAGTTCAAATTCCAACAAACCCTAATCCAATTACCAATTTACTTGTTGCCGCCCAAGCATCTCCTTCTCTCCCTTTTATTTTTTTATCGAGTCTAGAACTTTCTAGATTTGGTTCTTTAATAACTAGCAATGTTTATCATCATGTCGTTTCTCTATTAACTTATGATTTCTGAAAAAGTATTTATAATTACTAATTTATAAAAAAAAATTATGAGGCGATTAAATAAAAAATATTATTTAATCTATTGTCAATAGAAAAATTAATTTCACTAATAATATTAAGATTAAGATTGTAGCAAAATTAAAATAAATGATCATAAGATTGTGATTTTTTTTTATATCGATGATATGTCAAATAATCATCATTTTATATTTTTGAACGTATCAAATAATGATGATTTTAAACCAACAACCAGTTAGTCCTTAAGTAAAGTCAGAAATTCAAATCTTAACTATTATGAATGGAGCAAACTAGTCAATGCGAGTTTGACACGTTTATTGCAAAGCCACCCAAGCTTTGTAAATACTATTAACAGGAAGTTTCAAGGAAATGTAACTTGTCATAGAACAACTCTGTAGTATATATTTCACACATGCTCAAGCAAGGGAGGAAAAAAATGAAAGATAAAATAAATAAAAACTGTTTTTCTTGCGCTATAAATATTTTTCTCTGAAATGGCTCTTCAACAAGTTCTATAATGGATGATTTTGCTTTCCTTCCATCAAAGTTTGGACGTAGTTTTAAATACTTCACATTGGAACCCAAAACGGAACACTAACCCACCAATCGAAGCTCTTTCATAGTCATTTTCGACGACTCATGTGAGGGTACAGTCCCAAAATATGCTCCGGCAGAAAGTCGTGTCGGGTCAGGATTCCGACGATCGGAGGCCTCTGCATTTATAAGATAGATAGTTAAAACGAAATTACCTGCATGTATCTATCATTGCATATATACTCCAAAATTCCAGTGTTCAAACATTTTTCATGCACCAAAAACATAGGTACAGAGCAAGAGAGACTTACCCCCTGACCCTTTGGTACCACACACATGTGCCGGAGACCTAGTTGACGGAAGAGAACAGCGGCTTTGGCAAGTGACATGGTCTCAACCACTGTGTACGGTGATGCGTTGGTGATAGGATGGAGATCGACATACATTTCCATATCCTCGTCTTTGATGTCGAGATCCTCTAACTTGACTCCCTTTCCTGACCCTGTCTTGGCAAAGTCAAATCCGGAGATTCTACGCACTACCTCATCTCCTGCAAGTACCCTATGCCCTGAAAATATCTTTCCCTTCAGTAAAACGAGTAAATGAGACCTTAGAACAAGCCCACACAATTCTGGCGAGTCTGCAAAAGGTGGTTCGTCAATAACAGGGAATCCATTATGCCCTGTCGTTTTCAAAGCATGTAATATGTTTCCTACCTTCTCGACACCAGAAAAGGTGATCAGAGGACCAGAAACAATGTCTCGAGCGACTAAATGTTTCATGTAAGGTTCTGCATGAGCTTCCATATATGGCAAACCTTTTAGTTTTACTATTTGGTCATAGACTCCATGATTAAACATATCGCCCATGGTTTTTGAGATAAGGAGAACCAGCATGACAAGCGGAAGCATCAGCAGATCATTAGTGAGCTCAAGCAGTATAACACACAGGGAAACCGTCATTCTCATAGTGCCACCAAGAAAGGAAGCTGCCCCAAGGAGCCCAAACAGACCAACATCGAGTTTAGTAATTGGTTCAAATAGTCTACCAACAAAGCGGCCATAGCCAGCCCCTGCCAATATGACAGGAATGAAGAGCCCCGATGGGATAGCTATGCCGTAGGTGATAATTCCAAGGCAGTAAACAGCACAGAAGAAGATGAAAAGGGTGGAGAGATGAAATTCTTTTGAAGTGCTGGTACTCAATAGGTTACGGATGGCATCGTCATTAGTGTTTAGAAAGAGGGAGGCCATATCATTGTAATGATTTGGCGGACACTGAAAGCTTTTGTAGTTGCCAGATACATCAATGTTGGGGCATCTTGAAGAAACTTCAGCGGGACAGGGGATGCATGTAGCAAACCATGGCAAGCCATAAGAACAGATAGATGTTAACAGGGAGATGGTAACAACAAGTAGAATCTTAGCAGCAGGTCCTTTTCTGCACAAACAGAGAACAATTTACGCTTTATCATCAAATGTAGCACACAGGTACAATTTGAATCACAAATAACTGATACTGCAGAAGCTTTATTAGTGTGTTAAATCAAATCAAATAGTATAGGGCAGTCACATGATAGACAACAGAAAATTGCCTTTTTCTTTTAAAGAAAGGGGAAAATTGCCAAAGCAAACAGTGATTTACTAGTACGCATATATTATCTATGTTGTCTGCCACTGATAGTAACCGTATTACAAAACTACTTATGCTCGAGTATACCAGGATCTATGATTGGTTGAGGTACATACTCATTAATCAAGCTGTAAGTGCGAAGGACCTTATCCACAAGATAGTTATATAAGCTTCCAAAAATGCCTCCAATAACTCCTAGAAGTATCACAGCCAGTATATCTGGCACACTATATGAAACTTTGGCCGCACTGACATCATACATGATTAGTCCTCCTTCCCCAAACAAGCCACAAGTTCCAGTAGAGCATAATTGTATGAAAGCTCTCAAAACTATAGCAACTACTGCTGTTGTGAAAAAGGTTCTCCAAAGAAGAGCACTCCTCCACCTAGAGATAAGCAAAGGAAAACCACACATCATGATATAATAGGCATGTAATTTACTCACTGAATATTCAAGACACATATCAGTCATCATTGTGATTCACACATTTTTAGTTTCTACCACAACATGCCATCTAATACCAGGCTTCCAAAATTTCTGCGAAATGATTAGCTCATTTAGTAGTTATAAAGTATTTATAGTCTTGTGATTTGAATAAATAAAACTACAAAAATTACAGCATGAATAGCAAGGAAAACAATCTTCTAAGTAATGTTAAGAATTATTTTTCATGCCATTGGTAAAATATTACCAGCATTATCAAAGTGTGCAAGACAAAATGAGGAAAAGAGAGGAAAAAAAAGGGGGGCGAGGGAGCTGTAACAATTACTACTAATTTGACAGAGAAATATAGTGGGTACCATGACGCTGCCTCTTCGAGGGCAAATAGTACACCGCCAACTGGAGCACGAAAGGCAGAAGCCACACCAGCAGCAGCCCCACAAGTAATCAGGTCCCGTCTGTCACGATCATTTTTGAAATATCTAAGCCATTTCCAAGTCAAATGATATTTTCGGGAACCTCCTTGTCCGATTAAAGAAGCTATGCAAGCACCTGTATGAACCATAGGCCCTTCTTTGCCAACGACAAATCCAGCAGACACACAAAGAATTGATCCAAAAATCTGCCAGATATGCAATAAGAAATAAAAATACATTCAAAACGGTGCAGAGAACAGGTTCAATTACCATCGATAAACAAAAATATTGAAGATGTTTTCCAATGCTTTAACAGACTATGCTCACATTAGTAAGGAATTCAGTAGTCATATAATGTATTATTGTGATATGCAAAACGGTAAACCAGTATCAAAAGCACAAGAGGAAAAGGTAAAGATAACAAGCAAAAGAAGCGTGCTAAATATGTTTAAGGTGCCAATGTCACTCGCCTTGACAAAGAGAGTACTTGGAGCCAGTATTGAATGAGCATCCACACCATTGAGATAGGCTTTCACCTCAGGAATACCAGAACCTGCTGCTGCTGGAGCAATATAAGCACAAAGTGCTGCAGCTGCTGCTGCCAGAGCTAAATTGCAGCCAGCAAGTGCTGCAAAAGCCTTGTAGTATCTGCACTAGATCATTGCTATAAATTAAATGAAACTAAAATGATAAAACTATAAGTTTTTAATATGTTCATTACGCTAGAAAATATAAAAGTGAAAATCTGAAAAATTGCTAGAATTAAAGATTATATGCAATTTATGAATTTGAACTCAAGAAGAAATTAGAGAATAATTGGCATCAAAAGCAATCATGATTTTCTATGTTTTGGCTAAATCCATTGTCAACTATTCCTTCTCAACTGACCTTCCAGAATTGAAACTACTTTCAGACAGTTCTACAAGCACAAGCATCAGTACTATAGCTGTAATGGCTGCTAAGCCCATTCTCTACTCCTGATAACCACATTAACATGAACTATCAATGAAATTTTGAAACCACTATGTAATTACCTTTAGCTACAAATATCTGGCTAATGACCAACCAATTCCGAAGCCATGTCTGGAACTAATTAACTTCGATAATACCATACTATTAACTAGATTTTCTCATATATAATATACTAACAATGCAAATGAAATGCATGTCTGAATAAAGTTTACATATTTGAAAGGGTATTAATGAAGTCTGCTCCATTAATCGTTCTTAGTGGTGTTATGCAGGGTACAGCATAGCATGAAGGAAACCTTTTTACGTTTTCTTTTACATACTTGCTAATGATGAAGTTCAATTATCCTAATCCAAAGATAAAAGCCACAAATATTTCCAAATTTTGACTTCTATGACAAACTGAAATAGGTTGAACTTTTGTCAGCCAATAACTAACTACAGTAATCCACTGTAAACCGGAAAAATAATCACAATCATCAAACATCTAATTAGAGGTTTCAAGAATTAGACAATGTTTAGACCACCATAAATTATCGGATCTAGCCATAGACAATATGTCTCAGGCTCTCATCATTGAGATGAAGAAGATGAAGTGGCATTAAGAACAGCAGTTTCAGTGTTCAAACAAAAAACAAGTTTTTACCTTTGTGTAGAATATTTTTCTTATATTTAAGAATATATGATGATTTCATGATACATACGCAAAGCAGAGGTATCCAAGCAGAGCCAAAAATTGAAAAACTAGAAGTTAAAGAATTTTTGGGATCATTTTGATCATTTGTGGATCTGATTTTCCTGAAAGAAAAAATGCAACTTCTCTAATTGTCGAAGTAGAAAGTCTTCTGGGTTTTGAATGGATCCACTATTGATATTCCATACTCAGCAAGTTAGGCAGAGCATAATTGCAAGATAGAATCAGAGGATCACATGGTAAGGGAGTTTGCAGCAATAGTAAAGTTGACTTACTGGTGCTTCAGCATGAGTCCCGTGGTCATTAGCAGCTTGAACCCAGAGATATTCTCAACTGCTATATTGTTAAAGATCCCAACTAGTCCAGTGAAGAGCCCTATAATAAGTGCAAATGCCCATTTAAGCAGAACATATTGAAATATTTGGACCGTCTTCCTTGATCTCCAATCTTGCTTGAATAATTCATTTTCTATTATCCTGTTATAAATAAAAAATATGTATTATAGACAAAGGTCTGGTAGCTAAAACTAGTTATTCAAGGCTACTCTATGTAAAAGTAGTAAAATTACTCATTTTAAGAACATTAATCTCTGGAGCAGTAGCAATCAATACCAACACAGAATATACACACACACGTGTGTGTATGTGTATATATATACTTGATTGAAAATTTGCCAAGAAAACAAGGTCATAGTTGATCATTTTCTCCCCGGTACTCGGTTTGGCTACGGATCGAAGCATGTCTCTCTCCCTTATAACGTATTTCATCACTGTTGGCATAGCTAAACATTGGCTAAAACATAGAGAGCTTAGGGCTTAGAGCTTACTCATAATCAAGGCTCTCCACTGGACAAGCATTGACACCTACGATGGCGATCTGGGAAGTGGTGTTGCGTCTCTTAGTCAAAAGGGGTTGACTGCACACCCTCTCATACATGTCCTTCCCGGTATAGCTTTCAATATCATCATCTTCATTCAGTAGTTTATTTTCACGGTCCATAACTGTTATTTACAACAACAATTTTTTTTTCTTTTGGCCTGCACTCCAATCATGAAAATGGTCAAAATAAATCCAATCCAGAACTCAATTCTCGAAACCCAAATCTCCAAAATCAAAGCAAGTCAACACACTCGATTCATTTCTCAAATCCCAAATCTCACGGGAACTTGAAAGCTTATCGTATATGAGATACTAACATAGAAAACAAAAGAAACTAAAAGACCGGGCACGTACCTAAAAGACACAGATCTGATCAGAGACTACTGTGAAAGAGAGCAGGGATGGCTTTTGTACTTGGCAAGAACAAAATGGAAGGCCAAAATCCAGAAAACAAAGCAATCCAAATATGAAAATAATTAATAATAAAAAGGAAATGACAAAATCCTATATGATTGGGTTGGGACTGAAAGGAAAGTACTTATAAACCATATTCACATATATCATAATAGAATCAGCCAACTTTATACGTATCTTGACCACCATCACCAGTACTTTTTGGGTAAAGTATATAAATGGTCATTGAACTTTTTCAGATGCTTGCATTTAGTTCCCAAACTTTTAAAAATTGCAATACATTAACCAAACATTTAGTTCGTTTGCAATATGGTCCCGACGTAACGACCGTTTCACTGCCGCTAGGGTAAATTATATAAATGGTCATTGAACTCTTCAGGCGCTTGCATTTAGGTCCCACAACTTTTAAAACTTGCAACACAATTATCAATTACATTCTAAACCCTAAATTCCAAAATGCTTCAATTATATTCTAAACCTCAAATTCCAAAAATATTTCAATTACATGACCAATCCCGAATTCATAATTCATTCTCAAAATCTATCATAACAAATTAATCTTGAAATAGTAACCCTAAACCTTTAAAACATAACCCTAGATGCTAAATTTCCCCACAAATTAACCAAACATGAACAACAACATTTAGTTCATTTTGGGTCCATAACAATAAGTGATTATGTTGGGTTTAGGATTTAAAAGTTAGATTTAACCAACTATAAGGGAACAATACTCAATTCGATTTGAAAAAATTATTTTTCGACTTGAATTGATACAAATTGACTTGGAGTTGTAATTTCATAAACTCAACTTAAAAATTCAAGTTAAAATCGAATTGTAAAATACAACTTGAATATCTCAAAATTTTTAGTAATTAGGGGATTAATTTTTAAGTTTTAATCAAGTCTTTTGACTCTGTATGATACATGTATATCACATATGGAAAAAATATTAAGAAATATATGTATTGTATATGGTTAAAAAACTATTTAAATTAAAATCAAATAATATTATAGTATTATAATTATAATTATAATTAAATTTAAATTTAAACAGAAACTCGAAAATTCAATTCAATTCGACTTGATTTAAATTTTATAAACTCAAATTGAAAAAATTTCGAGTCAACTATTTTATAAACTGAATTGAGTATTTAGATCCAACATAACCCTAAACCCAACATAATCACTTATTGTTCGCTTATAGTTGGTTAAATTTTTTCGAAACAATTATGTTTTGAGGGTTTAGGGTTGTTTCTTCAAGTTTAGTTTGTTAAGATAGATTTTGAGAATGAATTATGAATTTAGGGTTGGGTATGTAATTAAAGTATTTTGGAATTTGAGGTTTAGAATGTAATTGAAGTATTTTGGATTTTGGAGTTTATAATGTAATTGATGATTGTGTTGCAAGTTTTAAAAGTTGGGGGACCTAAATGCAAGCGCCTGAAAAGTTCAGTGACCATTTATATAATTTACCCTAACGGCAGTGAAACGATCGTTACGTCGAAGACCATATTACAAACGAACTAAATGTTTGGTGATTGTATTACAAGTTTTAAAAGTTGGGGACCTAAATACAAGAATCTTAAAAGTTTAGTGACCATTTATATACTTTACCCTTACTTTTTTTTCCATATACATATATTAGCAACTTTTTTAATTTTCCACCTATGTGATTGTGCCACTTCAAATTGAGATTAATTGAGAAAAAACTCTTGGTAATTCAAAACATGAGTGGTTAAAGTTATTTATTTTAGGGTAAAGTACATAAATGGTCCCCGACAATACATATTACTTTATTGAATTCCTTAACTATTAAAAGTTACAAAATGATCTCCTGACTATAGGAAGTTTATTTTTCAATCCCTTAACTATTAAAAGTTACAAAATGGTTATCTGACTATTTATTATATTTCAAGCTCTTCATTTTTCATTAAAATTTTGATTGTAGTCTAATTTGCACGCTAATCTGTTGACTGAGTGAGATATGATAAAATTTGATCTCATAATCTCAAATGACTATCACATCTTAGTCAATATGTTAACGTTCAGCTTAAACGATAGTTACTTTTTTTAATGAAAAGGGACGAGTTTAAAATATAATTAATAGTCGGTGATCATTTTATAAATTTTAATCGTCAAGGGACTCAACAAGCAACTTCCTACAATCGAGGGACTATTTTATAACTTTTAATAGTCAAGGGACTCAATAATGCAATATGTTATAGTCATGAGACCATTTGTATATTTTACCCTTTATTTTATTAGGTTAAAATTATATTATATGTTCAAACATTAAAAATGATATCATAATAATATTAATCGAAATAAATTCAATTATTATTTTTCTTAAACACCATATTTAATTATAAATAATTTATATATATATAATTTTATTGTACTTTCAGTTTTTAAGGCTTCGTCTTAATTAATTTGAATCAACTCGCTTCGTACACATAATTTCGGTGAGTGAGTATCTCAACAGGAATTTTATATATATACAATAATTCAAACTCGAAATTTACTTAAACGATATCAAATTGCTTACCACCCGAATAACTCGTTCGTATATATATATATATATATATATATATATATATGAAATTTAGTATTTAACAAAAATATATTTTTGTTTATAGAAAGAAATATGGGATTATTAATTAATATTTTGACATCTTATGCATTATTATTATTATTATTATTATTATATTCACATGGGGTAGTGAATAATTAGTTGTCATATATCAAATCATTTGTTTTAATTTTTATTTAAATTTAAATATAATTATTTATAATATTATAGTACTGAATAGTTTTGATTTAAACTATTCTCTCTAAAGACATACAATATACATATATATTTTCCATATTTTTTCAAATGTGTAAGTAAGATTTATAACATTATTTAATAAATTGAGTCATTTAAAATTATATAATTTATTTGTAAAAAGTGATTTTGAACAAAATAATGTTGAGTATGAAAGAATCAGTGAATTGATCATAAGACAAATTTGCAACAACAAAAAAAACATAGTTAGAGAACTAAATTGCATAAAGCACAAAATTGATGGGTTAAAATAGAAAAAAAATACTACCAAAAAAGGGAAATTAAAATTACATATATATTCTACAATAGTAGTCAGAAACATGTTAAATAATTTGAACAAGTAAAATAAATCAGCTCGAGATTAAAAAAATCTTTAATTTTAACCGAATTTTACACACATGTAGGAGACAGTGATCTTTTGCCTCCAAAATGGTAAAATCATCTTCGAGTCCTTCAAGATTTCAAAGAGCTTATCTTAGTACAGCGATAAATTTTTCCACATTACCCAAAAAAAACTAAAATTTGATTCGGGTCACCCTTCTAGGCTTCACATCTATATACTAAATAATTTTCGTACATTTTTTCTATAGGTGGGGTTGACCGCTAAAAAATAGAATTAAGGACGGTTTTCTTTAAAAATAAAATAAGTTTGTGGGCTGACTTGAAATTAGATTTAAAATTATGGACGGTAAAATAATTAATTTGGTTGATGGTCATACAGATCCTTAATAACTTGTCATCCATCTCCTTAATTGAAATTCTTCTCTTCCCAGATGGAAAAGTGGGTGAATCTAACGGTCAGCTAGCTACTGGGCGGTCTTTTGCGTGACCCCTCAACTTTAGCAACCTACAAGGGGAATCACGTTTTGTTGCTTGCCGTACTTAAAGTTGCATGAGACTAATGTACGTTTAATACTTAAATTATTAATTTTATTTTGTTTTAGTGTGTAATTTTTTTATTTTAAAATTATATCTAACATTTTCTTTTTCTAATTTGTTAATTGAATTTTACAGATTGAATCATTTTATTCACTTTGATGTTAATTTTTTAACAGTGTTATGACATGGTACAAGCATCAAAACGATGTCGTTTTGAAAAACTCGAATATACATCAAAATTACGTCGTTTCAAATCCTCATATTTCCCACCATTTTCCCTCTACTTTGCAAATAAGATGATCGGTTGCCGCCGCCGGCTACCACATCATTTTTCATTCCGATCACCGTCTATCGTAGTTGAGGGTGGCCGTTCAATCCCAAAATTCACGGGTCGGTTCATCTCGACCCCCGAGTCCGAATCTGATGGTTGTTTCACCGTAAATGTCTCAAAATTTGTGAATCTCGTTTAAAAAGTTTCAACTTACTCACTTTCAGTCTCTAATTCGTGGACTTTAGATCAAGTTTCAATAAAATTGAGGTCGAATTTAGACTCAAGGTGTCGAGGCGAAGCGACCCATGAAATTTTGGATCGAACAACCACCATCTACGGCGGTCAGTGGTATCCAACGGTGATATCCGACCACTTTCTATTTTTATTTTTATAGTTGGGTGAGCAAAATAAGAAAAATAGTAAAGCTCAGTTAAGAACAATGTAATTTACACTTTATATTTTTAATTATTTTATATTAAATAATAAAAAAAATGGCACGCCATCACAAACGTTATAGAGATAACAAAGGAGTTAACAAAATGATTCAATCTGTAAAGTTCATTAAGCAAATTAGAAAAATTAAAAATACAACGAATAAAATAAGAGAGAGTAAAATTTAATGAGGAACATTGTAATTTATTCTTATTTATTTTATTAGAAAAATATATAATTTAATAACGTTTTGTAGTTTAACTACTATTTTAGATATTTTGTAAGATGTGTTTCATATTCTCCCACCATAAATGATTTCATAAGAATACTCAATGAAAAGAAACACATGTTTTTAGCTTAAAAGTGCCCTTTTTTTTGTGTGTGGGAAAAAGTAAAAATCAATTATGAAGACGTGGGTTATTTATGTATATTTTTATTTTTTGTACAAATGAAATTTTGATATATTTATTATTAGAATTTTATTATTTATTAACATTAGAGTTACATCTATCACTGTCAGTCTTTTATTTTTAATAGTCATAAATAAAAGATGTAATATATAATTTTAATATCAATAGATATTAAAGATCTCATAATAAAATACATTAAAATTCTATTTTATACCTAAAGACAAACACGTCAATAAATATTCATAATAAATTTTAAGTAATTCGAATCAAATCATTTTTCATGTTTGAATTATGGACTTTAAAATTGTCGTTCAAAATCTTATATTATGAATCATAATTTCATATTCAGTTGAAAATAATTATTTTGAATAGTGATATGATATTATTGTGTACTTAATTTATAATCTTATATTACTATAATAATGTAAAATTATATAATGAGATTACGTCATTTTGTTTTATAATATCATCTTACTAATAATTACTTAATTGATGTAAAATAATTATACATACTAATTCAAGGGTATTACAATATTATGATTTTCATAATTAACATTACATGTATTCATGTAGTTTGTATTAACATCACATCCATTAATGTCCATATGGCATCTTATTCATACAAATCACATATCTTTATATTAATAGCATATATTTTTATATTGACGTTTCGTCAATACGAATTAATATGTATCTCCTTAACTAATCAATAAAATTAAAATATTTAATATTAATAATTATATTAATATAAATATAAAAGACTAATATCACACGGAGGATCAAATATAAAATTATATAACATATCTTATAGTGGTAATGTAAGGCTATCAACTATAAACACTGCTTGAAAATACAAAGAGTGATGTAAATATGAATAAAAAACAACATTAAAGTAATAATTATATGTTGATTAGGCATCTGCAGTACTCGATCCAAATTAATCAAACATATACCGATGGTTATACAATAAAATAATATTATATTTAAGCATATTATACATTAGTTTATCTGTTTTAATATATGTTTACACTTTTAAATTTTAGTTTATTTTGATTTTGTCTCCCGCTATTTTAATTGTTAATTATATTTTATTCCTAGAACTATAATTATGGTTCCGTCTAGGGGTGTAAATGAGACGAGAAAGATAGCGAGCTATTCGAGATCGACTCGATCAAGGCTCGATAAATACTCGGATCGAACGGACTCGACTCGAGCTCGACTCGAGTTCTTAATGAGCCGAAACGAGCAACTTCATATTCGACTCGAAAAGCTCGTGAGCAGCTCGAAAATATATTATATTAAGATTTTATTTTTTTAAAATAAATTATTAATAATATTAATATTTATGTATTGATTTTTTTTAAAAATACAATAAGATTTTCATGTATTTAAGGTTCATGTTTGAGTTTGAAGCTTCAATCGAGTTAAGTTTAATAAAAAAAAATTCGTTTCGAGCCTTTTCGAGCTACTCACGAGCTTCCGTTCATGATTTCAAGTTCGAGTTGAACTTAAAAATTTGAAACTCGCGAGTTTTCGAGTCGAGTCGAGCTTCATTTCAGAGTTTTCAAGTCGAGTCAAGTTCAGCAATACTCGAACTCGACTCGACTCGACTCGACTCATTTACGCCCTGAGTTCCGTCCATGCTTATGCACTACTCTATAAGACTCTATTTAAGATGTTATATATATATATATATATATATATATATATATATATATATTAAATTCTGACACGTGATTTAGAATTTTAGATTTCGTTTATGCACGATCCTCTGCTATATAAAATTCATCGTGGATTCAAATTTATTATAATATTTTAGAATAGATATGTAGATTGCATTGACTATAAATGACATCATTTATAACAATATTAGAAGCAGTGAATAACTAGTGAGAATATGATCAATAAAAATAAACCTGAAGAATCTAGAGAATATCCAAAACGTACGAACGAAAAATCAATCTCTCATTAACTTTTATCCTATCACCATGAGAAGAATCGAGGGAGAACAATGGGCTAATAGTTGAAAAGAAGATGTGACTCAAATAAAGGAAAATATGACCAACGACACCACGAGAAGAGTGAGATCAGGAACTAGGCAGACAATGGAATATCTAGTCAGCGTTATAGACTCATGGCAAACGAAGAAATCAGTACTTGTTCAGTCAAATACTAATTAACACATGTATATGGACGCTGACGAAATATCATGTATAAACGAACGAAGAAATTAAACATTAAGAAAGCAAACAACTGAGGAATCTCATAAAATCACAAACTAGTGGAAGAAACTTGCATCAAGACTCGAAGGTACAAACTAGTGAAAGAAACTTACATCGAGACCCGAAGGTACTGATAATCATGATACTAGGGACTAAATAATATATTATTATAAATATATTAAAATACAACTAAAAATAATAAAATCTAACAACAATCTAAAAAAAATAAATGATGGGGAAGTGACCGGACAAAATCAATACCGCTACCTTGAACGCGAAAACTGTTTGTAACTCTTATATGCAAACTTTATTAAATTCAAATATTTTAACTATCTCTAATTACAAGTACTGAGGGTGTAAATACCCAACTTAAGGTCGAGGTTAGGTGTGTTAATAATTCGTTTAAAATTAAATTAATCGATCGAATTAATTTGTTTGATTAATCGATCGATTAATTTTAGATTTAACCGGTTAACGGTTAATGATTTTTTTAAACTTCGATTATCGATTATTTTGGTTCAAAATTACTTAATTAATCAAAACTATTAATTATTTAACATATTATATATATTATTGATATATTATTTAGCTAATATGTGTGTTTAAACTTCGATTTTAACCGACCAAATTAATCGAATAAACATAAAATATTAAATATATAATATATATTATTTAAAAGTTGAATAATTCGATTAATTTTTTTTAAAATAAATTCAATTAACGGTTAAAGAAAAATTGATTAATAAATTTTGAGTAGTTCAATTCGATCAATTAACTGAATTAACCGATGAATGAATTGAGTATTCATATTCCTTACTACACCATTTGTGAATAATTAAGTTTGACATTTCGCAATCATTATGGAAACCAGTGGTTAGGTCAAGTCTCAACATAAATCGGCGTAAAATGTTTGATATGTGCCGGACAGAAGCTTGTGAAGCAATGGGAGGGGACATGATATGTTATTTTTGTCCGATAACAGTTTAGTATTATAAACTATAAGATAAATTATAGGGTAAAGTACACAAATGGTCTCCAACTATAGGTTATTATTTTGTTGAGTTACTCGAATATTAAAAGTTACAAGATAATCCTTTGAATATAAGATGCTACTTTGTTGAGTCATTCAACTATTAAAAATTACAAAATGGCCACCCCACTATTCATTATGTTTCAAATTCGTTCTTTTTCGTTAAAAAAATTAACGTTAATCTGAGATGGATGTTAATATGTTGTCTAATATATGATAGTTGTTTGCGATTCTAAGAACATATTTTATCATATATTAGAAAATAGATTAACATCCAACTCAGACTGCCATCAATTTTTAACGGAAAATGACGAATTTGGAACATAATGAATAGTCATATGATTATTTTGTAACTTTTAATAATCAAGAGATACAACAAAGCAACATCCTCGAGGGACCATTTTGCAACTTTTGATAGTCGAGAGACTAAACAAAATAATACTCTATAATCGAGGGACCATTTTGTAACTTTACCCTAAATTATATTGAATATCATTACATTTTAAATCATGTATCGTTTTTATCATTAAATTTTAAATTGTTTTCATTTTAGCGTGGAATTTCAATTTTAGATTTAGTTCAAGTATTGAATTGCTAAATTATTGACAACGTAATATCCCTTTCGTAAATTATAGTTTGCACATTAATTTTGTTACTGAAATGTAAAATATTTTAATTTTAGTCACTAAAATTTAATTTGTGTATCAATTTGGGGCATAAAAAATTCGTCAACTCCTCTGTTGTCACTGTTGATTAATCATTGTAGTTGATTATTCGTCATTCATGACAATATCAATATCAAAATTGAAAAGAAATAAAATATGAAGGACTAAAACTATTCCATCCCAATTAAAAGGAAGCCATGTGTGCCTCCCATTTACTTATTTAACAAAGGTGACTTGATTGACACTAAAAGTAATAGAGATTAAAGCAGATCAAACCTATAATTAAGTGAGTAAATATTTAGTTTACCCTAGTAAAAATAATATTTAGGGTAAATTATATTTAATCACCAATTATTATTGTGATTCTATTTTGTTCACTTAACAATTTTTTTTAAAATTATACCTAATGTTATATTTTGGTTTCATTATGGTCACTTACTGTTAAAATACTAACAAAACTATTTATACGTTAATTTTTTAGTGATGGCATGATATAATTTTATGATGTCACATTGACATTATCGCTAATTTTTAACGAAAGGTGACTAAAAAGAAACAAAACATGATGACTAAAACGGAACTAGAAAAATAATCGGGTGACTAAATACATAATTTATTCTGATAATTATTATTGGCGTGGCATGGCATGGGTGAATCTTTGCCGGTTGCTGTAATGAAATATCATTGTCTTAGTTAAGACGCAGGCATGCTTTCGCGCCTTCCTCTTCCCTTTCCTCGGTCACTCCCACTCATTTCATTGCTTTTTCTTCATTGTATATGTTATTCTTTTCAAAATTTGGGATTATTAGGTTAGGATTTGCATGATCGAGATTGGATTTGAGAATTTGATTAATTGGGAATCAATCGTGGGAGTAGGGGCATGGAGAACGGTCACGATGAGAAATTGGCGGAAAAATTGTCCGGATTGGATCTCAACGACAAGAAGCCCTTCAACGAAGATAGCTTGTTTCATGTCATGAAAGCCGTCGAGGCTGCCGAGGCCACCATTAAACAACAGGTCTTCTTCTTCTTCTTCTGGAATAGTAGTAATGTTAGAATCATAATTTATTCTTTGTTTTCTCAGGCGGAAGAGAACGGTCGATCGAGGTCTGAACTCCAGAAGACAATTGAGCAACTCGAAAAATATGTAGGAGAATTTATCTTCCCCCCCTTCATTCTAATCAAAATTAAGCACTATGTGACCGTTATGCTTTTTTTTTTCCCTGCTGGAATTTGTTTATATTTAATGGAAATCAGAAAGTGGAAAGTGGTAGCAATCCGAATGCTTCCGCTAACGAAGCTGCCAATGTCAATTTTTTTGTAACATTGAATCCACTTCCGAGTGCTGCTTCTTTTTCTGACAATTACGTGGGCCCTCCTCTTTCTCTTTTCTCTTCACCCTTATCAGCCATTTCTTTTTCCCCTCCCAGGTTCTTCTTCTGTACACTGCGTAGTTATAGTAAATTAATAACTGTAGGTGTATTAATATGAAATAAACTGTTTTTCTGATTCACATGTTTTAATACGGTAGGCATCAATTATTTGGGGAATATGATTCTAGATTGCCACAAGGTTTCTTGCTGATGCCCCCAGTAAATAGTTCCAATTCCCTGTGGAAACAGGTTTCTTCCTGCCCTTTTACCATGTCTTATCATTATTATTATTATTATTATTCATATAGAGATTCAGTAACCTTATTTTTCTGCAGGATGATACCCATAAGGTTCGGGAACAAGAAGAAGAGATTTTGCAGTTGCGCAAGCAGCTTGCTGAATTTTCTGTCAAGGTTGTGTCTTGGTTATTTTTGCTTTTCTATCTTCTTTGAATACGCTTTAGTTTTGGATTTTTAATAATCTATGGTTAATCACAGGAAGCCCAAATACGCAATGAAAAATATGTTCTTGAAAAGCACATTTCCTATTTGCGAATGGTGCTATATTCCCAGCTTTCCTCTTGGACTATCACTAGTTCTCTTCTTTTTTCGATTACTTGCTCTGGAATGGAAATCTAATTTATAATATATATTTTGACAAATATTCACATCAGGCCTTTGATCAGCAGCAACAGGACCTCGTTGATGCTGCATCAAAAGCTCTCTCTTATAGGCAAGACGTCATAGAGGAAAATATTCGTCTTGCTTACCAGTCACAGGTATTTTCATTTATTAGTATTATTCAATTTTTACTTTGATGGTTAATGCATACATATAATATAATTATGTGACTGCTACTTGTCTTCTCTATATGTCTTGAATGCTATGTGCCGGTATTCTATTTGGGCATTGAACCATGTTGTTTTCTTTGTATTAAGACTTCCGAGATTAAAACTCAAACTATTTTGCATGTGAAATTACTTTGCTTTCTTCAGACTTTTCATGTTTGAAAATCTTCTATCTCCAACTTGTGTGGTTTTGGTTCCATATATTGTAATATTTTGTGTTATTACATTGCTCATGATTACATCTGTTTTTAACATTGATTTTTTCAATGTTCTGCCTGTGGTTCTTCTTTCAGGCTGCACAGCAAGAAAGAACAACTTTTATTTCATCTTTGCTTCCTCTTCTAGCAGAGTATTCCCTGCAGCCACCTGTACCAGATGCTCAGTCCATTGTAAGTAATGTCAAGGTCAGTTTCAAAATGCGTTCAAATTGCATTGATGGAATTACTCTTGTACAATATATTTTGATGCAAAGACCATATAAACCTGCAAGATAATTGGGAGGTAGTCTGTATTCTGCATGATATAATTTATTTTTTTAATTCAATTGCAAGTGTTCTATTCTATCCTATCATCAATGTCAAATGTGAGTGACAAACTTCAATGCTATTCATTGGGGCTGATTATCCATGCACAGATATTAACACAGTCATTGTTGTGATAGCCCTGTTCTATTAAATCATTGAATCCACTGATAATTTGCAATTGATTGGGTCATTTTCACTGTAGTTAGGCTAATTTCTTTTGAATATGGTAAAATAAGATTGCATTGTTGGAAATTTTATTTTAAAAATTGCGTTCATTTGTGGGCTTATTGTTATAATATTCCATTAGACAAATGGAGGATGGCTTTTTTTTTTCATTCCTTTCATCCATTCTTTGTATTTTCTTTTTTCAAAATTGCACTTTATTTCTGTGCTTGTGGGTGTTTTTTCGTTCTTATAATTTAAGGGACAATTAACGACCATAATAGTACTTTGAGTCGAAAGTTTATTAGCATTACTTGTAGCAAAGTATATGATATACCTAGTTTCTATTTGCTTTAACCTTGAAATCTCTGAAGAGACCCTGTAAAAAAGAATGAGGCATATGTTAGATAAGGGCACAAGGCAGAAGAGCGAACAATATTTTGAATAAGTTTAAACGTTCATGTTTCTTTTCTTTAATCAGAAGCATGAGGCTAGTACTTTTGCAGGTTTTATTTAAACATATGCAAGAGAAGCTTATTGTTATTGAGGTATGTTTTTTCTTCTCGAAATGAAGTTTAAAATAGCTGAACGCAACTATTTTTTTCAGTTCTGATGGAGTCAACCTGGCTTAACTTTGGAAGTGTATATATTTTTCTAAATACTTAATGATGCCCACCATCTTCTTTTATGGCCTCAGTCAAAGCTTAAGGTGTGGCAATATCAATTGCCACCTTGGCGGCCAGATGTCAATCATTCCAATTTCGCCCCTCAATCACCATTACATTCCCTTGGTGCAGCATTGCCTACATCGGTATGCTCATATATCTTCTTTTGGTTGTACTTTTGTATCATAATGATTTTCGTAAATTCTTATACTTTTTGTTAGAGCAAAAAGCCAAAAATGGCCTTGAATTGGTGCCACAGCCTACATATTCCCAAGGAAAGATGCAGATAATTTCTGATGCTCAAAAGGACGCACAATGGGATCTACCTGGTCAGCACCAAGGTGGCTTGGGTGGTGGTATTGCATCAAAAGATTTGGAACTTGATGATTTGGGGAGGTATTCACCTATACCAAGCAGGTGAGCCTGGTCAAATGGAGATTGCTACTATGAACTGAATGTACAAATTACAACCATCTGCATTTGTTGGTGGGTTCTGTTTTCATTGAATTCTTTTTGTTGCCATGAATAATTTCAAAAACTAAATTTTCATGATGAACCAATGTAAAGCTTCCATTGTGGCATAATACTTCTTTCACATATGAGAATCTGTCAACTGGTTAACCGTATTGGTATGCTTTATGTAGATTGTAACCGTATAAGTCCTAAAAGGTCAGTACTTCATGTCATTGTGAATCACTCCCGATATATTTGCCTCTTGTTTTATGCATATAAGCATTTCTGAGAAATAGTCAAATTAGGATACAGAAGTTATGAAAAAATAATTGAGTTGCATTTTCTTATAGTTTTTATTTGATGAAAGACATGAAGAATTTTCTGTAAGAACATGCTGAGCATTCTTGTATGACAAGGGCATGGCAGCATTCAAATATGTCAACTGAAAAAGAAGGTTGATGTTAATGGTTGCCAGGACTCCCACTCCCAATGAGATATCAACACAGTCGGCAGTTACTCATAGTGACACACATACTACACGATATTGTGAAGAAACTATTAATAAACAAGTTACATTTTGTGACCCTGTTAGCAATAGTGAGATGGATTATCCTGATGCCGAGGGACACCAGAATGAAAGAGAGCCTCCCTCCAATTGGGGTTCAGGAAATACTCCTTATGCTGCTGCAGACGACTCCAGTTCATCATATCCTCCTTATCCACCACCAGTTCTTGAAGAGCCTTCATCTTACAACACTTTGTTGGTTGCAACTATTAATTACTATTGACTATCAATTCTTTATTGCTTTCTGCAGCAGCAGAGGATGATCCACTTCCAGCTCTAGAAGGTCTCCAAATTTCTGGGGAAGCTTATCCAGGAAGGGAACTTCAGGCATGTGGATATTCTATTTTTCTGGATTTTCTTGCCCTCTATTTTAAGTTTTTAGGATTTTTGAACAATTATTTCTTTGATGTTTTTGAAGAGGTTGTGGATTAGATAACATTCCTTTAGATTCTGTAGTATGAATATATAATCCAGTAATGTGCTTGCGATGGCAGTGGGTGCGCCATATGGAAGATGGATCTGTTAATTATATTAATGGTAGTTGCTTATCCTTAATCTTTCTCTAACTTCTCTTTCCATATAATCCCTGTTATTCATAGAAATTTGTTTCTAAAGGAGTTTTGAAAAACAGGAGCAAAGCAACCAAATTATCTTGTTACTGCTGATGACGTTGATACATACCTTGCTATTGAAGTCCAGCCTCTAGATAACAGGAATCGCAAGGTATTGAATTTACTTCAATGCTGTTTTCCATAACGGGCACCTTGTGCATTCACATGTAGTTTGTTATCCTTGGCTTTTCTGTTCTTGCCTTTGAATATGGTTGAAGATTACTCTTGAACATTTTAGGACAAATTGCAATTGTGTTTAGAATACTGAAAGAAATAAAAAACCTTTTGAGAATGCAGCCACTTATTGAATTGTGGCTAAGAACCCTAAGGGTATTCTAGCAGCTAAGAACCTAAGCCTTTAAATTGTGGCTCTTTAGTTTGGTTCTTGGGATGGAAGAAGCAATAGGGGGATGGGAGACTTCTACTTCCCATTATGTAGCCAGAGGTCATATAGTGTTGTAAAAAAGAAAAATCAAAACTCAACACATATTTGATTCTTTACATTTTTGTATCTGCATTTTCTATTCTTTGCATCATTGGATTTCTTCACCTACCATTCATATTGGTCTGAGTGCTAACTCTAAAGTTCCCCATGCTGATGTGGCATCAGTAGGTGCTAAGTAGATTGGAGGGTGATTGCCATCTATGAAGATCAATAGTGTTTGTTGTAAAAGTTAAGTTTGCAATTATTTTTTTGGGTATATTGCACTCAATAGTTCTGAAATTTGCACTAGGAACTATTTTGCAGTACGGAAACTATCTTTTTATTGCTGCCTGCCAAATTGTATAACAATTTTTTGTTGTCAATTTAGGGAGAGCTGGTGAAGGTCTTTGCCAATGAGCACAAGAAGATCGCATGTGGTGAGTGATATTGATAGTAGTACCTGATGTTTATTTAGCACACCTTTTCATTTTAATGTTTTTAAATGAGATATTTATTGAAATTAGAGAAAACTTAGGGTGTGTTTGGAAAGCCACCCAATAATTGGATTTGGGTACATTTTTTTTGTAACTACACATGGATGGTATGTTTGAGTAACTATTGTAATTAGCGGGTCTCATTGAAATGAGTGTAATTGGAGAACCCCTCTCTTCAATTCTTATAGGGGGTTGAGAATGGGGGGAATTACGTGAGTAATTAGTCACAATGACTTTCAAACATTTTCTTAATCCATTTCTTTAATTAATGGGTCTCATGGAATTGTGTGTAAATTACACTTTGCCAATTAAACATGTCTAGAGAATTAGAATTCCTTGTAATTACACGAGGATGTAATTACTACCCTAGACTCTAGTAATTACACTTTCTTGCAGTTAATGTGTTTAAGTTGATTTTAGTAGTGTAATTGTTGTTGTGCATGGTAATTAATAAAGAGTGCTAAATAAACGACGACCCAATAGTCAACTTTGTCAGATTGACAATTGGTCAACAGCAATATCCATGCAGGTTTGGCTCTCCCCCACCCTTTTACCTTTGTGTTCAATACTTTCCAGTACACCACCAACATCATTTGCGAATGGGGGATCCATTATTAATAATTGAACTCCACATATATAAATGATGATAGCTAAGGTTTTGGAATTTAATGACTACTTAATGGAGGGGATCTCCTTTGTTTTTATTTTGTTTAGTCGTAGTCTGTTTTGGTTATATTCTCTCTTCTTCTAACCGGATTAAGTTTGTGTTGCTTTGTGCTTGAACTATTTCTTTGCATTTTATCATTTGAAAATTGTTAGCATCTGTGTTGTCCCTTGTTAACTTGTTGACTCATGTTCTTACACTTGATATAGAAAATTCATTTCCTGGCTTTTCTTTTTTCTTTTTATTCTACTTTTAACAGATCCGGAGATGCTAGGCTGTATAGAAAGGACTCTTTATAGTGGTCATGCTTCATATAAAGTTTCAAATTCGGTACGATTTCTACACTTGGGTGGTTGTTTATGTTGCTCGTTGTTTGATAATGACTCCATTATTAGCATAATATGTACATGCTATTAATTAACTTGACAACGTGAGAGTATTTTCTGACTCTTTTATATTACAGACAGGATATCTCGATATCTGGGGGCCGGCTACATTGGCTATTAAAAGGGACGGTTACACTATTAAGTGTAGTGGATCCAATGGTGTTGTAGTCATTGAAAAGTTTTGTCCAACCACTGAGGTAATACACATAATTTATATGTTCTTTTGAGATCCTGTTGGAGTGATGCAGGAGTAGGAGGTTAAGATTCATAGCAATTCTCAGGTTTGAATTGATGGAAATCATGGGAAGAACAGGGAAATTAATGATGAAAGGAAAGAAAAAATCCCAGAAGCTAAGCAGAATAATGTTGAGTTATTTCTGGAAATCAAATATTACAATAGGTCTCATTATTTTATTATAACAATAGGGATTCAGGATTATGCTAAGCTAAAAATAGTGAACTTTCAGATCCTAGTAATAATTGATATTCGCTTTACAATGTATCACATAGTATTCTGCATTTCTTGTTCAATCAAAACAGTGAACCTTCTGTGCAGTTAAACAATTGCCTCAATATATTTATGCCCACTTAGAGCTTTTTGATGGATATATTGAAATTGAGTTCACTGATCTTGCCTGATTTTGATATATCATATGTTTTCCTGAAGCATTAGTGATGACGAGTAATCCTTAATTTACATTCTCGTATATTTATATTGGTATCTTTTTTCTGTGTTGTTTATTGTTTTCTCTAGATTAAGATAACATTTGGAGAGCCTACAGAGTTTATGATTGTGGAATCAAATGGTGTTCAACGTCTCTTACGAGCAGATAGCAGCTCTACAGATATCAGCTGGTAAGTTTGAAGTTTCTCTTGTAAGAAACAAATTTTGCTGATTTAGAAAATAGCATGCTCCACATCCCTAAGGATAGTAAATCAGAGAAACATGTCTCATTGTTCACAAAATTAATATTATTCCAAGAACAGACAAGGTACTTCCATTTCACCGGAATGGGTATTTCCATAATGTCCTTTGATGTCTCATCCTGGAAGTTTTATGCCCTGGAATTGAAAATTTGGGTTGATTAGCTGATCAAGAAGAACCAGGTATGGAAACTGCTTATTCTGTTGTGAAAAGTACCGTGGAAGTACAATTGGGATTTTGCGGGCTAAATATTATTGCTATGTAATGCTGGCTGGTTTTAAAGAAATAGATCAGAACCTTTTTTTTATGGAAAGTGCATGGAATACGCCAAAGGTGGTTGGTTTAAAAGAAATTCCATGTGATTTCATAGATATGGTGACTAAGGTTATTTCCATTATGAACTTATAATGGCAATCCGCTGAAGGGGCTCTGATCAAATATGAGGAAATATTGATATGAATAGATTCCCGATGCTCCGAGGACGCAAAACACTATCTTACGAGCGTCTAAATTTGCCTAAAAATATGGAGTGACCTGTGATTCGGCTTCTATTTTAACGTATAATGCCATATCGTGGAATTGGTGCATGCCAACTTAGTTTCATTTCAATTAAAACTTAAGACATCTGTTTTCTGTTCGAATCTAAACTTATTTGCCCCCACTTTTCTCTCATCCCTAAGCTCACACTTGTGCTATATATGTCCATAACTTTGTCTCTTTATTCTCCCTAAATAGAAAATCGTGAAAGGTATAACTATTTTATTTTTACATTTCACTTGTGCAGTTCAAGAGATACAATTGTGCTCACCTTGAGATTATTTATCATACGGGTATTACTCTCCTCTTCTATCCACTTCTCTTTAATTTCTTTTAGTAATAGAATGTCTTATGTCCTGTTTCCATTGCATGCTCTGTCCGTGAACATGCCATGTTATTCATTTGCCTAAATTTCTTTACACCGTATGTTATTACGTCATTCTGGACTCTGCTTAGCCGGGTTTCTAGCATTTATATTGAATGTTGAAGGAAAAAAGTTTAGTGTTTTGATTAGGAGTGAGCAAAACTCGACTCGAGAAAACTCAACTCGAATTAACTTCGAGTTTTAGTTTCATAAACTTGACTCGACTCGAAAAAATTTCAAGTTCAAATCGAGTTGTAACTCGAATAGTAACTCGAAATTTTTAGTAATTAGTGGATTGATTTTCAAGTTTGCGTCAGTCCCTCAACTCTGTATGATATATGTACAACACATGTGAAGAAAATACGAAGAAATATATATGTATTGTATATAGTTGTAAAAAAATCATTTAAATTGGAATAAAATAATATCATAATATTATAAATATTTACAATTAAATTTAAACAATAACTTGAAATTCGACGCAACTTGACTCGACTTGAAAAAATTTCAAGTCAACTTTGAGTTGTAAAATAAGACTTATCAACTCGAATAATTCGAAATTTTTTGACTTGACTCGATCGAACGTCCACCCCTAGTTTGATAGGGTTTTATTGGGTTTGTAATACTTGCATCATGTTTTTATAATTGGGTTTTTGTATGTGATTAGCTTGCGCAGGCTGGTGAGAGAAAAAAAGAGAGGATTATTCTTTCACAAGGTACATAGTTAAATCACTGTGCAACTCAGTATTGAGATTGTGTAGTATTCATTATTTGAAGACAGGCTATCTTGGCAATGGCATAACTTGTGGAGTAGCTCCAGCCAGCTAGCTTGTGTCAATATTTTTGTTTGCAGGCGCCATCAATGTTTAGCTTTTTGTAATCAGCTAATTGTGTCGATATTTCCCTCCCAATGCTGCAATATAGATCTGCTCAAATATCTCTGCAATTATTTTTTTAGTTTTTTTTAATAGGTTTAAGGATGTAAGAAGCTCAAAGTGTTTTTTATGTAATTTTCTCAAAAATTTTAATTTTTTTAGATTTTTCTATAAATATGTATATATCATGATAAAATCATAGTATCTCATGACACAAACTGTGTAAACTTATTTATGCTAATGGTATCTATTCTATTTAGGGTTTAGGATTAGAGTTAGGTGTGAAATTTAGAGTTTTAAAGTTTATGCTTTTGGGCCTAGAGCTTGAAATTTAAAATTTAGGATTACAATAGTCATTATTTTTTAGGATTATAGTACACATATTATGTACAATTTAGGCGTAATGGAAAAAAAATAAGTATCCATCCATGCCTACAGTTAGTTTTAGGTGTAAAGATTTTTTTTTGTTCAATGTATCTAACATTTCTAATTTTACTACCAAGTACTTACATCATAGAAGCCAATATTATTTGACGAATATTGACTTGTATCATGTTTATATTTTTTAATTTTTTATAATTTTTTTAAAATGCTATATTTTTCTAAAATCTTTAAAAAAAAAAACTCAAATCGGTACTACGAAAGTAGGAAGTCCAAAATGGGTATTCCATTTCGAAGGTGCAGATCTAAATTTATGAGCGGAAAACTATATGGTCGCCGACTTGGAATACGTTAGTTAACAAATAAAGTATTCATTGAGCTTTTGGTCATTGAAAGAAATCAGAGTATGCTTATCAAAAATTCAAAACAGTATACAAAATGTTTTACATTTTCATATGATAGTTTATACTCAGCCGCATGGACATTTCTGAGGAACAAAACTGAATTCTATATCATAATGTATCAAAATTAGTTCAAGTATCAAACCTGTTACGACTGCCCAGCCATTTCTCGGGTCAACCTTCTTCTTGTCCAACAAAAAGCACCCTTCCACTTAATCGGTGATTCAAGGATAATTACTCTGAAAACTCCAATGTTTCCTTCCCTAGTTATAAACCAGCACAACCTCATGGTTTTGTACGCTTTAAGTACAGAAGCATGCCGATGCTGGTTAAGACAATGGCACCCGCCAATAGACCTGTGTGAAAACCGACCCCTCCAGTTCCCTGGGCGGCCACAGTTGATTCTGACATTGTCTGTTGAGCGGAATCAGAAAAATCCAGATACAATCGTAAAACCTGTGAGAAAGGTAGACAGTTAAATTTAGAATAAGGAAACCAACAGCAGCAGCAAATGGTCCAATAAGAGAGAACAAAGTCCAATACAAACAATGAGTTACCTTTAGCCCCCGTGATCTCGTATGGTTAACGGCAGCAATAAGATCACCATCGGTGGTGAGTAAAACCTTATCACCTTCATCATCTTCATACTATATGAGTAATTGAGTACAGACAAGAAAATTTGAGAAAACCACAGAAAGTAAAGTACAAAATAAACAAATGAACGCATCAACTCACCAAGAGCTGAGGATGACTATGATCATTATGGGAACGAATTCTTTGTGTTATAGCTGATAAAAGCTCGTCTAAATTCTCATAACCTGAAGAAAAAGTATTAACTATGTGACTTTTCCATGCATGCAACATTATGGGAAACAGGATAATAGCCAAGCCTGCAAACATGCTTAACATCATATTTCGCTTCAAATTATCTCTTTTAATAATAAAGTCTGGGTGTGCATTAGGAAATCAGTGCATTGATGCTTGTGGGTATAAAATGATATGTATCTTTAAATATTCAGCTCAAATTCGTTACCAAGTGTATACGTACCAAAACTGAATCGATGTACACGACCCTTAGGATCCTCAAATTTGAAATAAAATGAGTTTCCAAGGCCTAGGGAAGGATAGGATGATAGCTTTCCAGCATCTGCCCCCTCCGATGTCATGATTGCCGATATTTCGCTGAAACAAACATTCTGCAGGGTTGGTTCATGTGTATAACATGTTGGAACCATAAGTGAGGCAGAATTAGTTACCTCTGTGTGTCATAATCATCTGGTGGCTGCAAAGAAAGGGCGGAATCCCAGAATTTTTGCATCAATGTGCTTGCCATGCCATTAACAGCTCCAGGGCTACTTTCAACCTTCAAAAGATGAAAATTTCAGAAATAAAAATTTAACTTGGGCCAAAGGAGTAAGAATACATAGAAAGCTAAACAGATACTGAACAATATTAACCATGTTCAAATAAGAAAAATACTACGACGTATATGTTAAAACCTTACTATAGGGAATTTTTCCCTCTAACTTTTTGCTTGTTACTAGTAAATTATATCCAGTAGGAAAATCCGTAGACATGCCAAGTGCAATTGAATGACTCATTACCATATCCAACAACAAGAGAAGAGATTAACATATATGCTGCCATATGTACAAGTATCACAACTCAAGTAGCATTGGTCTATAAGTATGAGATTTGGGAAGGTGTTGAAAATGTTCAGGCGAAACATTTTGAAGGTTGGTACTTGGAATTAGAAACAAGGTAAGAATAAAGTAATTGTCATAACGACCTTCAACATTTGCAACTTCCAATATTAAGGATTTCAACAAAACATTATGTAGATGGAAAGACTACTTTCCAACTTGATTTTTTATTGTTATAATGAATTTTAATTCATCTTGTTATCTAATAAGTCCATCACAGAACATATGAAGTTTACAACTAACTCTAGATACTTGAAGTGAATAGAATTGAGCTGAGCAAAGTGCTAACTTGCTCAAGCTCAAATTGTGAGAAATTTTATAGAGCTCAAGCATTGAGTCACTATGCTTTTCAAGCTTGAATACATCTGTTCAAGCAAACTTGGAAGTTGGCTTGACTCAAAATTGCACCATCATATGCTCTCTCTCATACAGGGTAAAGGTAATTCCTGGATCCGAGTACACAGAGACATCCTATATTAAAACCATGATTTGTTGCGTCTTTTGTTACTTACTTTTTTGAAGTATAAAAAAATGCTTTTGAAAATCATAATCATATATTTTGGGAAAAAAGTTTTCATGCTTGTTTTAATATATAACATAGTTATGTTAGGGTTTAGATATAGATTTTAGTTATTGATTCAATTTCTAATAAATTATTTTATTTTGCTTTTTAGAAACATTTTGCAAGCAAAAAAGCAGATAGGAAAAAGAAAGTAGGAAGCAACCAAATGGACCCCGAGTTCATAATCCTCCTATTACGCTTAATAGCCATTGCCTAAAATCCAATGCATAAACATGAAATACCTAACAATTTTGATAGACATAAATACAAATAAACACATACCATAGAAATTGCTGCATGAGTGATATGCAGAACATCTAGACAAGCAACAACAGTTCCATCTGCACAACAGCCATTTCGATGCATAAAACATCAAAGAATTGTAATTATAAAAATATATGGAAGAACCAAATCTCACCTTTCTCTAGAACAGGAAGATGTAAAAACTTCCCATCATGCATTATATGAAGTGCGTCAAGGATTGATGTTTCCACTCTCGCACATTCAGGGTTTGGTGTCATAACCTGAGGATTAAAAAAAAGATAGTTTGATTACAACAAGTATAAAAGACAAACATATAAAAAAGAAAGAATCAAAAGCTTAGAACCAGAAACCATTACACTAAAAAATTGCAATGTACAACTTGGGACCATATAATGTCAAGAACATGTTATAAAATTGATCATTCCATTCCAAGATCAAATACCAGTAGTATAATTAAGTGAAGTTAATATTCAATATAAATGCAAATGATCCTTTAGAAATAATTAAAACTTAAAAGATTCAAAATAAGTTCATGTTACAATTTTATTTAATCATCTCTGTGTATTTTATAAAAAGATTATGCACCATACATCACTGTAACTGTCCAAAGTAAAGCTATCCATGTTAATAGAATTGCTGATCAAAACACAGACAGGAACTGAAAATGAAATTTCAAGAGCCACAAATACAATTTACACGCAAAGACACAACATATAATATACTTCCCAAGGAAGTACCAAGACATATTCCTTAGATAAAAAATCTATTTACAAAATTGTCAAGCTTACCAATTACAATCATATAAATGCTCAACATGTTGCTAAAGTGTTTAGGCATAAAACAGAGTTGAAACTCAGTTTAAAATTTATTCCTACATAACAGTGGAGGGTGAATAGCAAAGGCTACAATGTACATCAAACCAAATGTACAAGAATGAACCTTTTCCACCAAAGTTAGCTCAGGGGAGAGATTTTGTGCTACAACTCGCATAAGGATGTCCCTTGAACTGCAATGCAAAGAGGAAAGCTAGTAAGCACACAAATATTGAAAGAGGTCTTCAAATCCGCACCAAATACATGTGATGGTGCAAAGAATCTCAAAAGCTAATATTAATCAATTCACGAGTTAAAAACAAAAGGTTACGTTAGTATCCCCTGAATTTTGTTCCCTGTCACTATAACAACTGAACTAACTCGCAGCTCTCGCATCTTTTTTGCAGCAACACAGACAGGATCCGATGATAAAACAATTGCAACCCTGGAAAATTAAGAAGATACTAGAACTGATAAAGCAAATAACAAAACGAGCAATACCATTTAGCAAATTGTATTTGTAACTAACAGGTCACTCGACGGATGAGATAGAAGAAAATACTTTGAATTTTCAGCAATTATTGTTGACAATGACGGCTTGAACATCCGCTCCCTCAAAGTTTCTATGAAGGCATACGGTGCTGAATAAAGCATGACAAACAAAACAAAATGTTAACAAGAAATCACAGGTTCCAACTTGTATGGTGTAACCATTAACCTATACCCTTTATCATCCATCAAGTAAAAAGATATGTACTAATTGACATAAATGTGTGCAGACCACTTGGACATAAATGCTTGCAAGGAAACTTGAACGTTAAGCCATTTCCATCCAAAAGTGCATTTTGAAACAATATGAAAAGTGTCAGTAAGTATCTATATGGGTGAATACTGTTGTAGAAACAGAGGCAACAAGAGTTTATCAAATATATGCATGCAGCGGCATTGAATCATTAGAATGTTATGATTACTAGTACAAAAGAAAGAAACTTAACCATTGCTTCCCCACTGGCGTTCAACTCCCACCACTGCAGCAGCAATTGCACTTCCTTGCTCAGCAGCCTTCTCCATTCTAGAGATGGCATCAAAAAGGCATTTTGCAATATCCAACATGGCAATCACTTCACCATTTTCCACAACAGGGAGATGCCTGAATTTTCCTGACAAAAGAACCAGTCACTCAGATTTAGTACATGTAGAACAGCATTTAAAGTTTAAAAACAGTATAGCTATTGTGATCAATCTTATTTCAGCTCTGCCATATATCAAGTCAATGCATTGCAGTTTTAACATGGCTTAGAAAAATTGTATAATAGCTTTCGACAAAGGCAAATTCAGAAATGACATTGGATTATTTGAAACTGTAGAAAACAGACTGTAGAAAACAGACAAGTCTGTTATTTTTATTCTTGTGTACATTCAGTAGAACATATTACATATTTATATACAAATTATGCATCTAAACTAGGAAACTCTAAGAAAGGAAACTAATCCTAGGAGATGTAATCCCTTGAAATAAGGGATTGAAAAAACAGAAAATAATTACATAATCTCTTAACTTAAGGGATTGACAACTCATTTCTATAATTCCTACACTCCCCCTCAAACTGGTGTATATATGTTGTATATACCCAGTTTGAATGACATCTCATCAAAAGTCACTCGTGGAAGGGCTTTGGTGAAGATATTTGCCAGCTGTTTTTTCGTCAGAATGTACTGCAGTTTTGCAACTCCATTGTTGACCTTCTCGTAAATAAAATGTCTGTCTATCTCAATGTGTTTCGTTCTATCATGCTGCACTGGATTTTTTGCTATACTCATAGTTGATTGACTGTCACTAAAAATCTCAAAATTCTTCTTGTCATCTAAGTCCAATTCTTTGAGCAGTCTTTTAATCCACATTCCTTCACATATTCCGAGAGCCATTGCTCTAAACTCTGACTCAGCACTACTTCGAGAGACAACAGCTTGTTTCTTACTTCTCCAAGTCACCAAATTACCCCAAACGTAGGTACAATAGCCAGTAATTGACCTTCTATCAGTTAATTCACCTCCCCAGCTTGCATCTGTATAAACCTTCACTGTTCTGTCTTGATTTTTTCTAAATATAAGTCCAGCTCCTGGGGTAAATTTTAAGAACCTTAAAATTCTGTTAACAGCTTCCAAATGTTCTTCTCGAGGATCACTCATATGTTGGCTGACAATGCTCACTGAGTATGCAATATCAGGCCTGATCAGTGACAGGTAGATTAACTTCCCAACTAACCTTCGGTAGGATTCCTTGTTTACTGGATTTTCAGTCATCTCCTTGCAAAATTTCAAGCCTGGCTCCATTGGAGTTTCAACTGGTTTGCAGTCGAGCATCCCAGTTTCTGCAAGAAGATCCAAAACATACTTACGCTGGTTTATGACCAGCCCTTCCTCGGACCTTGCAACTTTCATACCCAGGAAATACCTCATACTCCCTAAATCCTTGGTTTCAAACTCCTTTGCAAGATTCATCTTTAGCTTTTCTATTTCTTCTATATCACTGCCAGTTATAATCATATCATCTACATAGACAATTAGGAGGGTTATCTTACCACTCGGTGTAATTTTTCTGAATAATGTGTGATCTGCTTGGCTTTGTTTGAAACCATTCTGTGTCATAGCCTTAGCAAATCGATCAAACCAAGCCCTGGGAGACTGTTTTAAGCCATATAAGGATTTATTGAGCTTGCACACAGTTTTCTTAGTGACTTTTCCTTCTAATCCGGGGGGGACCTCCATGTATACCTCTTCTTCAAGGTTCCCATTCAGAAAAGCATTCTTTATGTCCAGCTGATGAAATTTCCAGTCCATGTTAACAGCTACTGATAACAATATTATGATGGTATTCAATTTTGCAACCGGTGCAAAAGTCTCCTGGTAGTCTGTTGAAACATTTTGATATTTCGATATAACAAATTAAGTTAAATGGATTTTAAGATTTTCCAAATGATTTTCTAAGTATATTCGATATAACTATTCGAATATCAAAACATTACTCCAAATATTTCAAAAATCATTTTTAATCCTTACTTAAGTGTAAAATTAAGTTTTAATCATAAAACAATTTCAAAATAATTTTACAAAGTATTTCGAACCAATTTAAAGCCAAAAAATTACAGATTGCTCAGAGGGAACCGATTCCCCCCCATAGAAGGAACCGATTCCCCCCTGAATGGTTTGGCTCCGAGATTTCCAGAATGCTCGGAGGGAACCGATTCCCCCATAGGAGGAACCGATTCCCCCTAAACAGTTTTGTTCCGAGAATTCCAGTATGCTCGGAGGGAACCGATCCCCCCCCAAGGGGGTACCGATTCCCCCATTGTACAACGGTCGAAATATTTGAATTTTACACTTAGGAACCGATTCCCTTCAAGGGGGAACCGATTCCCCCCACACTCCAAGCTGTTTTATTAAATGTTTTCACATTAAAACGGCTATAATATCTTCTCTAATCATCCCTAACATTCAGAAGTGATCCAAGGTGTATTTAAACAAGTTCTGAAGCCCTTGATCAGCAAGAAATCATAGAGAAACAAGAGAGAAAGCATCAAACACAAAGTTTGTGCAATTCAAGCCAATTTTCATTCAATATTCATTTTGCTTTCAAAGAACACTTATTGTGCTCATTTGTAATTTTCTTTGAGTGTTCTTTTCTTGTTCTAGAATTGTGCAAACATCTTACCTTGTGAGGTTTTCTTGTAAGTTTGCAAATTTGTAATCTTCTCTTTGAGAAAAGAGTGTTCTCAAGAGTTGGAGTATACTCTTAAGGGAATTGTAAGGTTATCTCTTTGGCCTCAAAAGAAAGAACAAATTAGTGAATTTGTTGGAAAATCCTTAGTGTGGATAGCTAAGGTAGTGGACGTAGACTTTGTTTGAGAAAGTCGAACCACTGTAAATCGCTGTGCAATTACTTTCAATTTTCTGCAAAAGCTTCCACAAAATTTTTTATTGCCAATTCACCCCCCTCTTGGCCAATTTCGTCATTCGATTAACTCAACAATTGGCATCAGAGCCTAACTCATTTGAAGGTTTAATCGCCTCTTGAGTCGATCCGGGAAGAGTTACATCGATTACTAAGTCATCAATGGCCTCCACTTCAAATTACGACTCCGGTCTCGATTCGATGCCCGTCAACAAGCCTCATTTCTTCAATGGAGCTAACTACGCCTATTGGAAGAATAGAATGATGTACTTCATTCAAGCAAGTGACATGGGAGCATGGAATGCCGTAGAAGAAGGATACATTAAGCCTATCACTCATCCAAGGTTGTGGAGTGAAGGAGATACAAAAATGTTCCAGCTCAACTCCAAAGCCATCCATATTATCTTTTGTGCTCTTGGACCAGATGAATACGGAAGAGTTTCATCATGTACAACCGCCAAAGAAATATGGGACAAGCTTCAAGTCACACATGAAGGTACCGATGAGGTAAAGAAATCAAAAATTAGTATTCTAACGCATAGCTATGAAAATTTCAGGATGAAACCAAATGAAGACATCAAAGCTATGACGGATAGATTTTCAACGATTGTCAATGGTCTCAAATCATATGGAGAGATCATCTCAAATGAAAAGCTTGTGAGGAAGTTAGTCTACTCCCTCCCAAAATCATGGCAATCAAAAGAAGACGGCAATCATCGAGTCTAAGGACCTATCGTCCTTAACTCTTGAAGAACTTATCGGTTCACTCCTCACTCATGAGATGATGCTTGAAGATGAGGTGGACCTTGATAAAGTTGAAGAGACACCAAAGGAGAAGGAGAAGAAGAAAAAACATTGGAGTTGCTCTCAAATCCACAAAAGATGAGAGTGATTCTAATGATGATGATGATGACGAGGAAATGGCATTGTTTGCCAAACGGTTCAGAAAAATGATAAGACCTTACCGAGGAAGAAAATTCAAACGAAATGAAGGCCTCAAAGATGAACCAAAAGAGAAGGACCCGATCATTTGCTATTAATGCAAAAAGCCAGGGCATGTCAAATATGATTGCCCACAATTGAAGAAGAAGGGTCAATCAAAGAATAAGCACAAGGCTCATGTGGCTACATGGAGCGATGAAGAAGGTTCCGATGAAGAAGAACAAGAAGTAGCAAACTTGTGCTTAATGGCATTCAGGGAAGATTCTAAGGTAACCTCTAACTCATCCGATTTTGATGATTTATCTTATGATGAGTTATTTGAGGAGTACAATGGGTTGGCTTCGGATTATGAGAAATTGTTTTTAAAATATAAAAATGATGTTTCAAAATTGAAAAATGAAAACAAACTCATATCCAAAACCAACAACGATCTTGAAAGTAAAATCAAAGATTTGCAAATCAAACTAGAAGAGTTTGAAAAGAAAAATTTAGATTTGCAAAATTTACTTTCAAAGATCAATGATGATCATCAAAAGAAAATTGATGATCTTAAAACTTCTTTTGATAAAGTTGGAACAAAACATTTTGAAAGAGGTGGAAATTCAGAATCCAACTTTGTTAGAAAAAGTTTTAGAAACTACAATCATAGAGGTCCCCAAAGAACCTCTAATGGAAAAATCATTAGAAGTATGTGGGTTCCTAAAGAACTCATTACTACTAAAGATAAAAATATCCTACACAAATGGATACCTAAGGGGACTAGGATTTTGGAAACTAATGAATATGGACCCAAAAGAATTTGGGTACCAAAAATCAAAAATTAATCTATGTTTGTAGGGAAAGGAGCATTGCTACAAGGCACGGGAAAAAAATTCAAACTCATGGTACCTTGATAGTGGATGCTCAAGACACATGACCGGAGACAAAAGCTGGTTCATAGAGCTTAACGTCAAAAACGGAGGAGAAGTGACTTTTGGTGATAATTCAAAAGGTCACATTGAAGGTATTGGTACAATAGGTAATACCTCTTACATACAAATTAAAAATGTTTTATATGTGAATGGATTAAAGCATAATCTATTGAGTATTAGTCAATTATGCGATAAGGGATTCAATGTCTTGTTTGAAATTAATGGTTGTAAAGTTATTGACATTGCTCTAACCGGATTATGCTTGTTGGTCATAGAATAGGAAACATTTACATGGTGCATTTAGATTCTATTGATATGACTAATTTGTGCCTAGTTGCTAAGGATGAACATGATA